TGGTATCTTGAAAAGCAAGCAAAAGATAGGGGTCGATTATCGTGTGATGATTTTTCATCAAAAAAATTAAGGCTATAGGCTTTGAAAAATTCTGGTTTTTGTGAAAATTTTTTTATCAATTTTTATGACTTCTAGAGATGGAATTTGTGATTAAAAACGATTGTAGTCAAAGTAGTAGAATGTATCTTGAAAAAGCAAGCAAAAGATAAGGGGTCGAATAGCATGGGTGGATTTTCTCAAAAAACTAAGGCTATAAGGCTTTGAAAAAATTCATGGTTGTGTCAAAATTTTTATTAATTTTATGACTTCTTAGAAGGTGAATTGTGATATAACGAGTTGTCAATGTAGTAGAAGTCGTACTTGAAAGCAAGGAGTAGAGGGGTCGAATATTCCATGGCGATTTTTCATCAAAACTAAGGCTATAGGCTTTGTAAATGCATGGTTTTTGACAAAAATTTTGATCAATATATGACTTTAGAGATGGAATTTAGATAATAACGATGATTGTCAATGTATAGAATATTATCTTGAAAAGCGAGAGCAGAAAAATAGCGGTCGAATATCATGGTTGATTTTTCATCAAAAACTAAGGTATAGGCTTTGAAAAATTTCATGGTTTATTGACAAAAATTTTTTGATCAATTTTATGCTTCTAGAGATGGAATTTACTGATATAAACGATGTTGTCAATGTAGTAAGAATGGTTTGAAAAGTCAACAAAAGTTTAGGGGTCGAAATATCATGGTGATTTTCCATCAAAAAAACTAAGGCTTATAGGCTTTTGAAAAATTAATTGGTTATATTTATCAAAAAATTTGTTTTTCAATTTTATGACTTCATAGAGATGAAATTTGTGATAAACGATGTTGTCAAATGATAGTAGAATCGTTATTTTGAAAGCAAGCAAAAGATAGGGGTCGAATATCGTGGTGATTTTTCATCAAAAACTAAGGCTATAGGCTTTGAAAAATTCATGGTTTTTGTCAAATTTTTTTATCAATTTTATGACTTCTAGAGATGGAATTTGTGATAAAAACGATGTTGTCAATGTAGTAGAATCGTATCTTGAAAAGCAAGCAAAAGATAGGGGTCGAATATCATGGTGATTTTTCATCAAAAACTAAGGCTATAGGCTTTGAAAAATTCATGGTTTTTGTCAAAAAATTTTTTTTTTAATTTTATGACTTCTAGAGATGGAATTTGTGATATAAACGATGTTGTCAATGTAGTAGAATCGTATCTTGAAAAGCAAGGAAGTAGAAAGGGGTCGAATATCATGGCGATTTTTCATCAAAAACTAAGGCTATAGGCTTTGAAAAATGCATGGTTTTTGACTAAAATTTTTTGATCAATTTTATGACTTCTAGAGATGAAATTTATGATAATAACGATGTTGTCAATGCAGTAGAATGGTATCTTGAAAAGCAAGCAAAAGATAGGGGTCGAATATCTTGGTGATTTTTCATCAAAAACTAAGGCTATAGGCTTTGAAAAATTCATGGTTTTTGTTAAAAATTTTTTTATCAATTTTATGAGTTCTAGAGATGGAATTTGTGATAAAAACGATGTTGTCAATGTAGTAGAAAGGTATTTTGAAAAGCAAGCAGAAGATAGGGGTCGAATATCATGGTGATTTTTCATCAAAAACTAAGGCTATAGGCTTTGAAAAATGCATGGTTTTTGACAAAAATATTTTGATCAATTTTATGATTTCTAGAGATGGAATTTATGATAATAACGATGTTGTCAATCTAGTAGAATGGTATTTTGAAAAGCAAGCAGAAGATAGGGGTCGATATCATGGTGATTTTTCATCAAAAACTAAGGCTATAGGCTTTGAAAAATTCATGGTTTTTGTCAAAAATTTTTTGATCAATTTTATGACTTCTAGAGATGGAATTGATGATAATAACGATGTTGTCAATGTAGTAGAATGGTATCTTGAATAGCAAACAAAAGATAGGGGTCGAATATCATGGTGATTTTTCATCAAAAACTAAGGCTATAGGCTTTGAAAAATTCATGGTTTTTGTCAAAAATTTTTTTATCAATTTTATGACTTCTAGAGATGGAATTTATGATAATAACGATGTTGTCAATGTAGTAGAATGGTATCTTGAAAAGCAAGCAAAAGATAGGGGTCGAATATCGTGGTGATTTTTCATCAAAAACTAAGGCTATAGGCTTTGAAAAATTCATGGTTTTTGTGAAAATTTTTTTATCAATTTTATGACTTCTAGAGATGGAATTTGTGATAAAACGATGTTGTCAATGTAGTAGAATCGTATCTTGAAAGCAAGCAAAAGATAGGGGTCGAATATCATGGTGATTTTTCATCAAAAACTAAGGCTATAGGCTTTGAAAAATTCATGGTTTTTGTCAAAAAATTTTTTATTAATTTTATGACTTCTAGAGATTGCGTTGGTGATAAAAATGATGTTGTCAAAGTAGTAGAATCGTATCTTGAAAAGCAAGGAAGAAGAAAGGGGTCGAATATCATGGTGATTTTCATCAAAACCTAAGGCTATTGGTTTAGAAATATCATGATTTTTGATGAAAAACTTTGATGAATTTGATGACTTCTGGCTTTACAATTACCTTTTAAAACAATTTTTTTTTTACTTAGATGAAAATTTGCTTATTAGGTAAGTTTTTTTCTCATGGTTTTTTCGATCATAAATAAGATCTAATCGATATGCTTTGATTCTTTGTCGAAGTCTTGCTGAAGTATTTGCTATTTGCTATTTATTAAATCCTCACCATCTTTTTTGTCATGGGATTCTTTGCAGCTTTGAACTTTGAACGGTAATCGATGTAATAAAGTTTGATACATATATATACTTATTACGAATGCAATTGCAAAAGACGTTTTGTGTTTCACTCGTGTTAACATGAAAAACATAGCTTTGCTGCCTCATATGCCAAATCGATAGATGGTTTTAGCAAATAGAAACTGTAAGAAACTTTTCAGAAATGTCACTTTTGAGAAATAAGGAAACAATTTTTTTGGCTTAGGCCACATCGTCGAGGACTCCATACAATGCTGCTCCTCGTTGAAGTATCAAGACCTGTCAAATGCCAGTGTCAAGAAAGACTTATTTTGCATGTAAACACGAGCTTTTTGCGTGACACGACTGTCTTAAGACCATATGAAAGAATAAATGGCGATCTAAATGCATCGATTAGTATGAGAACCTGGATCTAAAATGCCTTTCCGGAACCACAGTGTATTGGCTGTTGGCCTAAAATGTCAGGCCTGCTTTATTTGCAAGCGATGCATGTCAAAAGAGACGACAATCCAAAAAGGTACCTAAAGCGTAATTATTTGAAAGATGCAGATCAAATAAGCATAACGAACATTGTTGTCGGCTATGGTTTCCACAGCAAACATATGAACCCTCAAGAATAACAACTGAAAGAAGTACCTTGATTGATATAATTGTCTCCACCAATCCAGCACTTCATTAAATCATCTGTTGTACTTTGTTTATCATTCCGTGATCTTGAAGTAGTTGTAATCTTGAGGAAAATATATTTTCAACCAACAAAACCAAGGGTAATTTTATCCAGAAATTTTAGCAACTTCTATGAAGAGATCTTTCAGAAAGACCTTAAATCAGTCTCACTGGATGGGGGTATTGAAACAATGAGACGTAAATGGATAGTGGAAGGTATTCAGCGACTGTTTCCTGAAATCCTTAAACCGACATGCTCCGCACGTTGAGATGAGTGTCAAGGGACAAGATTTCCTTGGCTGGCAACGAGATCAAAAGGGCAATTGTTGAAAGGTAATACCAATCCTGCAAAGCTGACAGACTGGAAATGAATATCATTGGTCGATGATTTACAAAAGGAAACATAAATTAAAGGACAAAAATGCCATAAGACACTGATTCAAGAAAAGAAATCGGATCCTAAGAGATTTTGGAAAGCAATGAAGGAGTGCCAATCTGACAACAAAACATGCCAACAAAGGTCTAGCTCATTCAATAGAAAGAAAAGAAGCTGCAAAACTACTACCTATCTTGCCAGCCAGCACACTTCGAAAGTTAACATCATCAGATACCAAGCAAGCCCCCATAACAAAAGGTTACCCTTTACATGTGCTCCTGTCTTTAAAAAGGAAAAATCTTCTGGAATAGATAACATTGGAATAGATCGACTCCAGGAACAGGATGCAGCACAACAAATTACGCACCCTTGCCTTAACAACATAAATCTATTTTTGGTTATAGCAACAATCTGTCAGGAGTGCCATATATAAAGAAGCACAATGTGTTCCATTCTTTAATAATTTCGTGAACCAATTTCAGTACTGCCTCTTTTACGAAAATTCTAGAACAGACTATTTTGTACAAGTACCCAGGGAGTAACATATTTCTGTCATTTCCACAGTTTGGGTTTTGATGAAATCGTCCAGCATCCTCGGCTGTTGTCTACTTTACTGATATTGTGAAAAAAGCATGGGAAGGAGTCAACTTATTGATCCAGGAAAAGCTTTTGGTATTGTGGACCACTCCACCCTTATGGATTCAAATGTACCTTACATAACAAGCACAAATAACGTGTTTTGAAGAAAAACTATTGAAAGGGGAAGAAGATCACGAATGGAGTTCCCCAAGGCCAAATACAAGGTCATTTGCTTGTCCCGATTCATGTCAACGACGTCCACTTTAGTGATTTCTTATATTTCAACTAACATAGATGGAAGGGCATGTTTACTATAAGTCTTAACTGAAGCTATATGCTTCGAAAACTCGTGTTTTTGAAATAAATTCTTTTTTCCCAATCTGTGCCTTTTCAGTAGTCACTTGACAGGTATCCTTCTACCATACCTCACAGTATTTTTGACTCCACGGTGAAGAATGATCATGGAATAAAATTCTTTTCTGAAAACTGTTTTTGGGCGTCTCTCAGTTTCTTGTTAAATTGATTCCAGTACTCAGTTACTTTCCTTGAAGAAGTCTCTTTTATGGATTCAGGATATCACGGACATTTAGTAAAGTCAGTTTAAAGAACCGTAATTAGGCCTTGTTACAATAAGCATCAATCTTTTAAACTGAAGCTGAAGAAAAGAGTGGTACATGCTGTTTTATTCTATCTTTCAATCTTAGGGTAGTGCGTCCTACATAGGCAGAGTCACACTGGTACGTAAATTCATATGCAACGGAACTCTTTTGCGCGGTAGGAACGCAATCCATTTGAATGGATTGAAGGGCATTGTTGGTACTGTAAACGATTCGCGGATTGACACAAAAGAAACAATTTGAAATGGCCTGTTTAATCTGACTTTCAAATCGCAAGAAACTGTTACCGATCCAGAGTAGTTTTAGATAAACCGGGCTCTTTGCGGGCCAAATTTTACTTTGTCCAAGAAACTTTACCGAAAAGACATCCTCTGGATAGCCGTTCTCCTGAAATATCTTTCTTAGCTGTTTAAGTTTCGAGTGGAGTTTAGACTGGGAACAAATCATCAGTGCACTATGAATAGGCGTTTTGATGAGGTAAATTGTTCTTTGTTTTGGGCAAATCGGACTCCATCGAGTGTATAAACCTGAAAACGTGGGTTTTAGGTATACACTGGTAAGAAATCCAGTACCAGACTTTTCAACCAAAACATCTAGAAATGGCAAGGAGTTATTTTTTTCCTTTTCAAATGTTAACTGTAAAGGGGGTTTTAGAAAAACATCACACTCGGCCTCTTTTTTAAAAATAGCAATGTGTCACATTGCAGTCAAACAAACGCTCGATGGACTCACTCATATAAGAGCATTTGTGAAAAGACTACTAATGTCAAAAGAACATATAAAAGGTGTTTCGTTTTCGATGTTCAGGATTTGCATGAACTCAGCGAACGTAAAGGAATCCTTGATGCAATGTTTTGAATATTTTTAAGAACAAGGTCCTCGTGTGTTGCTGAGCTAATCATAGACAAGATTGGTCTAAGTGGAACATTCGCCTTCAAAAAGCAAGCTGATATGGAACGATTTCGTAATCCAACTCCTGTTCATCTTTTTCTCAATTTTTTTAAACATTTGACAAGTCCGGGAGCTTAAAAACATGTTCTTAGTCTCAAGGTGCATCCTTCCCTGAATGGAAACAAAAGAAGAGTGCAAATGTGTGAAAACGTAGTTAGTAGAAACAATATTCTTTTAAATACGGTCGAATTTAGTGTGAAAATTCAGCAGACGAATTTCTCCCAAAACACCTACATGTCAAAATAAGGATGAATGTATTAGCGAGCTGTGACCTTGTCGATGGAAAAACATTGATAGTGCTGGAAATGGAAAAATATGATTATCGGGCATTTTAACCAATGAGAACGGCTCCCTCGTACTTGACAGCAGGCGTGTGACCAGCAGGGGGTATAAAAAAGTCAGCCGACCGTATTGTCATGTTGGTGGTCCAAGATTTTTGCTAAGGCGTTGGGAAGAAAAAGGAAAAGAATACGAGAGAAGTCGCTAGGTAGGTTCACTTTGTTAGAACAGAAACTCCTTACTTTGTATCACCTTACTGTTATCCGACAAGAATGCAATCATTGTATTAAAGAAATGATTGCCCGCAACTCGCGCGCGAGTGATGGGCTTATTTATAACAACAATGGTGGATGTTTGGCATAATATTTAATTCCTTTCGCTTTCTAGATGATTCATTAGGAAAAATGGATGCATATCAAGCATGTCTCTCCGCGAATGGGCCCGCGATAGCAGCTACAGTTTTATTCCCAATAACAATCATAATAACGATTGTGACTGCAGTTCTTATTCGCAATTTATTTAGAAGTGGTCCTTGGGCATTTAGAATCGAGCAGAACATCTTGATGAACCTAACTGTGGCAAACTTAATGATATCGCTTACCTGTCTAACGCTCGTTGTCGCGGGCAAATATATTTGGAAGAATACATCGGCCTGCTCTACCATTCGGAAAGTTGGAGATATTGTAGTGCTCTCGACATATTGCTGTATATTTCTTAGTTACGCATCGTTGAATTTGAATAGATTCCTTAGCTGCTTTGTTCCCCTGCACTACACTAACATCGTCACTGAAAGAAGGTTGATGGTGCTGTTCCTTTTTAAGTGGGTCTTATCGTACTCTGTTATTACAACAAGTGTGTTGCTCTGCGAAAATACCAAGGATGATGGCTTACTCCTCACTCTGCACACAGAAGCTACATATGGATTTATAGTTATCTATTTTATAAGCGTAATTTTAGTTTTTGTTGTCAATATCTGGTTATGGTTCTTGGGACAAAAAAAACATCAATTGGCAGTGACACAGACATCATCTGCACGAAGAAATGATGACAAATTATCAAACAGGAATAAGTTCAAGACTGCCATTATAACATTTTCTCTTACAGTAAAGAACATATTTTGCTTCTTGCCATTTATCTGTGTCATTTTAAGTGAGCCAAAAGGCATATCCATGACAGAAAAGCTGTCCATAGTGGGTCCACTTACAGCGTTGAGCCCGTTGCTGGACCCATTTCTGTACCTTGTCATCAATAGGAAAGCAAGACTTCGAGTTGGAAATAGCATCAATTCAAGAAAAATCTTGCCTAATCAGCCCGATAATTTGTGTCGTTGATAAACCGATCAGCGGCTGCTGTCGATTTCTACATCAATAGTGCTGTAATGTTTCCCAAAGCAAATAAATGCTGAACAGTTATGCAATAAAAATGCAGTAGAACGTCAAGATAAACGAAAAATCATTCACTATCACAAGAAGAAATCACATTTGTTTTGATGGTAGAGTCATAGCTTATATATCATAACGGTCACTTTATATGTGTGAATGATATATGCAAATAAAATTCACGAAGGGTGATCTTGCTATCGGAGTTTATTCTTGCCTTGTGCATGTCAATAGGCGTAAGCACACAGAGATCCTTTTTACATTTCCTATAAGCAATTACAGTGAAAACTGTCTTTGCGGACACATCTATAAGGCCGACATCTTTATCGGTTCCCTACCCAATCCTATAGGAAATAAAGTATAAGGACTGCTCATAAGGTTGACACCTCTATCAAGCGGACTGTGGTCATATCTAATACCTGGGGAAGGAATAGGAACTCTTTAGAAGGAATTCAATGATGAGGTTTTCAAAGTGATCTTGGAAATTCGCTAAAATAATCTATGGTTGCCGCTTGCTTTTCTTAGTGAACCCTTTCTGGCAACACTGTTGGGTAAGGACACAGAAAAACAAAGAAAAAGACCCTTTCTTATATCGAATAAAACTGGTATAATGATACTAAGGTTATAGAAAGATGTTGTTTAAGCAAAACACAGCAAGACAGGCTAATGACATATGTTAAAAACACATAGTTCATGTCTACAGGCGTCAGCACAGAAATAGGCTTTGTCAGTAAAGAAAATGATTCGATATTTGTATATCTAAGAGTTCCTTAACTGGTTTATTGTAAAATATTTAGGCCTTTTTAAGTAGTACTTCAGTCATCAGTTTTAATTCAAGTTTTGTGTCCTCTTTCTCCTCTGTTCTACTTCTCTGTATCCACGATTCTAGTTTGTCTAAGCTCCAATGGCAGTTATCGATCGCAAAGAGAAGCCTGCGCTGCGTCAGCTCCTCCGTCAACAATGTCTCCAACCTGGTGAAACGCCGCGAATGTGACCCTTTACTCGTTGATCGGGGAGTTGGCTTTCTAATACTCACCTTCTTTGAAACTGTCACTGGCATCGTCTTAACATGGCTAGGATCATCGGGATCAGTAACAAGAATGGTTACTTTACGAGAAACTTTTCGACCAGCGAAAGATTTTCGTAATTGCGAATCGCGTTTTCGCTTCGCGGGGCTGATATTAAAGATTGCCCTAACGCGTTCTTCAATAAAATCAACAAAGTCATTGCTCCTTGCTTCAGCCTTCCAGTCCGAAGATTCTTTGATACTATCGTTTATTATGACCAACAAAACATTCAACATAATAAACGTTTCAGCTGCGGCAAAAAGCAGAAAAAACAAAGGCCCAAGAATCGGATCTGCTTTTAATAAGCTGTGATAGACAGAGCCGCCCACAAGCATCAGCATTTGTGTCTCTGCTGCTTTGATGTAGGTGGAGAACAGATATTCTTGGTGAAACAGCAAAAAGGCCACGGCAGCAAAGCCATAGAATGCAATCACAAATGGCATAGTGTAATTAAGCAACGGTCTTGAGAATCTGAGGACAGTTTCTTTTAGAACAACGATGGTTGGAAAAACAGATATGATTTTCATGATTTTCAAAGTAGATGCAAACGATATTATGGTTACTGATATCAGCAAAGCTTCGTCGGCAATAACTGTGTAATGGAAGCTGATGAAACGCTCCGATTGCTCGCGAAGGAGGCTCAAGTTCTTGTCTGCCTCGTACCAACTGAATGCTCGCAAAAAGATTGCTGCAAACAAGGCAATAGCTATAGTTATCTCAATCCAGCTCCAAAACGATTTAAAATAGGCACAACCTACCCTTACCATTGATCTGCACTCTTTGTATATGAAGAAGAGTAGGCATAGAACCAGAATAATCTCACTTGCCATAACCAGCTTCCCAAACACCCCAACGTAACGATAAAGCTTGAAAACTCTTATGCTAGCACTCGGATACACAGTCCCAGTTGGCAGTACCTCAGCAATAACAAATCCAGTTGCAAAGAAATTCATATTTGCGTTGTAAACAGAAAACTCGAAAAACACTGCTCTTGTGAGTGTATCTATCCACGTGTCTTGCTCGAGTGCCATTGCAGTAGCACGAGCATAGTCAATATCAGTTGCAAGGGAGGCCACATACCCACCCCCACTATAGGTAGAAAAATGGCCGTAGTACGGGAAGCCTCGTAATGAGCTCATATCTCGATATCGCCAGTGATCTTTGTTTGGCCTCACTGTACCATCAGGAAGGAGGTATTGTGAATCAATAATCACTTCATTTGAATGAACTATCTTTGAACTTGAAGGGATGGTTTTCCGGTTTACTTTGAATTTCAAAGCTCTTCTTTGACGACTGTGAACTTCAAAGTCTTCTCCATTTCTACTAGGCATATCCATCGAAGGTTTATAATCAGTGTTTATACTTATGTTAGGAGCTGAAATTCCATCAAGTTCGAATGTAATAATTTCAGGCTCTTCAAATCCTTCCGTCATTGAAGATCTTCTACTTCGTTTGAGGTTGATGTCCTTCCATCCGATATCATAATTGCGTTCTTCATTATCGGAAAGCGAGTAATAACTATTGCATGAATTGAAGTATTGGGTCACGTCTTGGACTAACTTGCAAGCGCCTGAAAAGAAAACAAAATTTAATGTCAAGAGACAATACAGGATTTCTAGATGGACAAAAAGGAAAGTTAAGTAATGAGGGGATGCACAATTTCTAGATGAATGATATTCTGACGAAGAAAAATAGAGATCAAACAATCCGCTTTATTGACTTAGCTTAACGGGTAGGGGAAGCCAACAGATGAATAATTTTCTTTCCTCCTCATACTCAGAATATTGGCTAGTTAAGAAGAAAAACACAAAAATAGAACTCCATTCTTTAATTTCTCAAGGAGACATACAAAAATTATCCAGATATGAAATTTCAGGTAGAAATTGAAAAATGGTATCGTTCAAAGATAACCTTTGTCAATTATTTACTCTGGTAAATTTTCCTCAAGTGTAAGTGTGTTCATACAGCATCTTCAATATCATCAAAATATTTTAAAAATTGACAGAAAGAGGCGAGGGGAAATCAATTTGATGCTTGGAATAGCAGAAAAATTTATCAGCACACTTTGAAGCTGACAGTAATCACACATGCCAGATAGGAAATGTTTTACTGTAACTTGAAGATGGCAAATTTACACACACAACACAAACGGAGTCATCAATTGCTTCCTCTGTTGAATTGTTTGTTTGAGTGAAATAGAGTAATTTTGTGATTCACTTTCACAATAGAAAGGTTTTCAAGCATATTTTCAAGCTGATATTAATCGCACTTGACAAAATATGAAATGAGTTATTGTAACTGAAAGGTGACAAAGTTAGAACACAGGTGCAAAACAAAAATCCTTTGCCAACGCTATAACATGCTGGGCATCCTTCATCTGTTCTCTTCTCTCTTAAATTGTTTTTTGAGCAAAAAATATTTTTTGGCTTGTGTTATTTAAGCAAGCATCAGACGTATCTCCTTTCATGTGTAAATTTTTAAAATTTTTCTTTTTATCAAAGACACTAAAATCCTTGATTTTCCAAATCCCAATTTCTCGTACCTGGTTTAACTCTTAGCTGCCGGATTCTCGCAAGTCCAATACGATATGCCTCCTGGTTTTGAAGCATTTTGAAATTCGTGAAATTGTCTCCGTTGTACCATTCTTGAGTGTAAATAGCTGGAATGAAATGTTGTTGTACCCAGGTCCAGACGCCAGGGACATCTTTTAGCTATGATAAAATTTGATCAAACATCAATGCTTACCCTGTCTAATTGAATAAACAACTAATAGCCCTATAACGTGATTCTATTGCATCGTTGTTCATACTTTCAGAAATGCAAAATTGTTTACACCTTTGATTCATGAAACCAAGATTTTGACTTGATAAAGGTAAGGCCAAAACTGGTCATCTGTTCGAAACATTTGAGCACAAAATGTGTTCATAGTTAAAATTAAACGTGGAGCTGAACAATAATAGGGTAGTACAAAGGGGAATGCCTGTTTCCATAACAACCTTTAAAGAGCTAATCACCATAAAGGCTACATTACTAGGTTTCAAATTGTGAACAAAAAATGTAACATTTAGGTGCCAAAATATGTTGACTTTCTACAGTAACTACCAGGATGGCTGATTTTGCAGTCAAATATAACCAGTCTTTAGACAACTGAAACAAGCCCATAGGCATACACAAGAAAATTCACTGTTATGAATTAAGAAGCAGCAACTTTATCACTTCAAAGTTTTGCACAGTAAAAGAAGAAAAACATTCAATAAGACACAATGGTCCCTGTCTGTGGAGCAAACTAAAGAGAGTCATCAAGGAGGTGCCAACAATTAACCAATACAAAAGAAGTGTAAGAAGAATGGATATAGAAACCCTTTTAGACTGTAGACTATAGCTTCGTTGTAAATAGGACTTATGTGTTTTAATAATTAGACTGTAACTCCATATATCATACTTTAATTTAACTTCATATACATTGCGTCCCCAGTTAGCTTGTAAGCTAAATATTTTTGAAAAATTAATAAAGATTTTGATTGACTGATTATATGATTGACTGTTAACCGTTTTATCGCAGAGAGTTTCAAGCTATCATATCAAAAATAAAACTTTTGACTGTAGTCAAAGTTAGAGCTGTACATGCTTTTGGGTGAAGAATAGCGAAAAGGAAAATTATTATCAAGAACTATCAAAGTATGTAGGCAGATTTTATACCGGGAATTTAAAAAGAGGGGTGGTTGAAATTCCAAAAATTGGCCTTCGATGCTTGATTCTAGGGACGAGATTGGGGGATTCCCTGGAATATTTCCAAGAAAAAGATCTCGTTGACAGCCAATCAAGATTTGTCGTTTCAGTTTCACGTCGCACTCAATACAACCATCAATAGATGTTCTACAAAAACTGTGATATATATCCACTTACGTGTTCATAATGGGAATGTACAATATCATCATTTAGCGCTTTTCGAAATAGGTATTCATCAGGATCTCTGTACCCACGAACAACAAGACATAGAAAAGTCAGAAACACCAAATATGAAAGAATGTCTTGAACAAATATCTTCAATCGGATCTCCATGGCCCGTCTTTTGCGAGCGTATTTCAACTGGTCTTCTGTTAACGGGCTGCAAAAAGACGATTTGTTATAGAAAGCTCGGGGCAGGTATAGAAGAGAGGGGAGGTTGAATTCGAATTTGTCAACGCTAGGAAGTCAGCGCTAAAGCGTACATTCATATTCTACTACATCTATTCGACTAGATGCTAGATGCCCCTACCTATGCACTAAAGTGACTTTTTGATTACTCAAGCTAAATATTACAAGATAGGAGAGAAACTTCTATGAATGCAGCTAGAACGATGAGAAGCTCTTGTTTTCCTGATTTCATTACCCATTTCTTTTAATTATATTATTTCATTCCGCTACGAGTTTAAGAAACGCAACATCTAGCACATTCAATATTTCATACCCTAATGAATAATAAAGCTTTGAAATATGCACAAAAGTAATTTCTGCATTGGGACATATTCAGAAAATGATGACCAAAATAAAGACCACTGCCAAACAAGCAGACAATACAATTTAGAGTAATCGTTGATGATCACATAAACATTGGAGGGTAATGAAAGTGCTTAATGGTCATCAAGATAGCACTTTTGTAGCAAAGGAAAAAACTGCAATTGGAACAATGTTATGAACTTTTTTTGATGATGCGAAAAGAGTTTCAATGGCATTAGAACGAGTCTCATGAAATGACTAACCTCATTTGGATTTTGGACAGATCAATCTCCACAGGGGTCACAGAGGCCTCTTTTTCTTCAGCCAAATATTTGTACATTTCAAGAATATGAGTTTCGTTGCTTGTTTTCTTGAAAATCAAAGCAAGAATAAACGCAACGAAGATAAGCTTTAATGGCTGAATCAAGAATGCAGATTGTATGAAGCTAGTGAAGATGGACAAAACGAACTGTTGGGACTTCTCGTTTCCCCATTGCATACTGTAAAACAAGACAACAACAAGAGAGGATACTATAGCTGTTATGGCTAAAAACCAGCCAACAATAACAAAACCACAGGGAAGCATCAGCTTTCTTTTTGCAGGAGTGCCACCTTGATTTTGCAAGCTCCGTCGTCTTTTGTAATTTGCAAAACTCTCTGAATGTCTAAAGATCCAAGCAATTGCAAAGTTTATAGGAATCACGACAAATCCTGACTGAATTCCAATAACTATACCCTTGTAATCGATCACTAATGAACCAATCTTCCACAGATATTTCGATTCTTTGTTTAGTTGAAAAAACATGGCGCTTGCCAGCATGGTTGTGAAAAGAAGTGCCATACAGCACGTTACACGTTGCACGCGTGTAAAACTGTCGTGTGCACGCTTCAAAGCAACCGATAACCAAAGATGCTGGTCACTCAAATCAGCTGCTGCCTTTGTCGTGAAAATATGCGAGAATGTCTTCTGATCATCACTGTTTGCGATGGAAAAAACCCTGTCAATAACACCATCTTCCAACTCAACAGCAAGCCAACGCTCACAGATGAAAAGGTAAGTCTTGTTCGTACGTAAATCTTCGACATAAACACGGCTGAGATACCAGCCTGGGCTGTCTCCTGAAATTAGAAGCAAGCGATAACACCTTTAGAAATATGAACAGATCATGCCTATCGTCAAGTTACAAACTCTACTACGTTCCTTCAAAGGCAAGTGCAGCAATAAAAATTTACTACAGAGATTTTTGACAACATGTCGAAATTGATTGAAACATAAAAAGAAAGGTGAGCATTAAAAGTAGATAGATGAAAAAGACGAATTACCAGCATTGTCATGCCATAAACGTATATCGGTAAGATCCTTGATGGGCGCATCAAAGGCAACTTTAAATGCATTTATCTGATCTCTTTGAAATGAGGTTTTTTCTGGATCAAACAGGACTCTAGGCTCTCCTACTTGTTCAGAGCTGTTTAGAGAGCAAAAAACGTGAGCGGTTGTTCCAGCGTTTACCCTGGCTCCAGTTACTGTTATGATCAGGTACTCGTAAGGCTTTGTCGAATCGTTGTCCAAGACAACGACGCTGAGCTGAAAAAGATAAAGAACAACCTCAAAATTATTCAAAAAAAGCATGAAAAAAGAATGAAATATTGGAATGAAAGATATACGATATTTTCAAATTCTCATTGTTGCAATTATTGATAGATTGAGAAACTTTTTTTTTAGATAATGTTAAATCAGGCCAGAAAGTTGGGTTTTCACAAAAAAGTTTGGTTAAAGGAGATTATGAACACAAATACTATTCTCGCATATTTTGAGATATCGCTGACATTATGTGAAGTGTGGGCTGTGTTTTAATTTTAACTTAATTTTTTTCGAAAGCCAACTTTCTGCATGCAACTCTAATTTTGTGTCCAGCCATTTATGCTTTATGGATATGCAAACTTCACAAAGTGAGGATAAACAGAATTCAAATCAGAATATTTCCAAAAGCATCGCATTTAGAAATAAGAAACTTGATAGGCCTACCTTCTCAACATCTTTCTTATCGTGCTTTCTCAATACAACTACCAATAGGATGTAAATACCACAAAGAACTGAAATAAGAACCACAACAGAAACGTTGTCCTGAATGTTCTTAAAGCCTTCTATGACTTTGTCAATGTCAATTGGATTTGGAGCAATAAAGAAATCACCAGCAAAAGAGGTAAGATGGTTGCATTTACAGTGGACAACAGACGGACTTGTGAGCTGTTCAATCTGAGAAAAGATAAAATATCGTTACAACCAAGAAGACTTGGAGATAGAAATTGGCTTTACAAGCAAAATAAATATATTTTTTCGATTTTGATTAATTAACCTTCTATATATGTTTATTTTGTTAGCTACAGCTTATATCGAATTAAGATAAATTTACAGCAACAACAGCCACAATTTAGCGACGCGCCTGCTGTCCATCAAAAGGTAAGTGGGGAAGCGATGGCAATGCCAGAAACAATATGCGCAAAAGTAGATAGCAGAAAGAAAGTTCATCATGACGACATAGGCAGCTGCCTGAACATAATTCTAAAAGGACTACTTTTGTCTCCAAAAATAAGCATTTTTTTCTTAGGTTCAAGGAAGAGTCTCAGGTTTACCCTCTCACCAACAAAAATCAAAAGAAAAGGGAAAGATAAAATCACCTGTCACCCTAAAACTACAGGTTCATAACAGGGCACTATACATCTTTAAACTATTCTGGTGGAAGACAAAGCTATGGGGGCACTTGCAGCAAGTAGATTTAGCAAAAATGCCGCTTCTTTTATGGAGTTACCCTACCAGCTGCCATTTTTCTAATCAGGGTCACTTCGGGCTCACACTGGCTGGGGAGCAACTTATCTGTAAATTTGGAAAAAATTTTCCTTTTTTGCTGGTGATTGTTGATGATTTCGTCTCAAGCCCTGGCCACCTAAAAACAAATCTTGAATGAAATTCTGGTGTTCCTCCAACTTATTGGGGCAATTATAATAAGCCGTCAATAATTATTATGATACTAGGAGCTATATGTGATGATATTGACAGTCAATACTGACGACACTATCGACGCTTCTTGAAGTTTCATAATACTTTAAGCGATATCAAACCATCACCTGACAACCTTCAGATAGCCATTCTTCAGCTTTTGCCGGATCCCAGAAACGGCACTTCGAAGTGTAACTTCGAAGGAAATATGAAGATTCACTGATGTTATCAGCAACTTGGCAACTGCTTGAAGAGTTGTACAAAAATGCAGGGCTCTGACTGTCAGATGTTACTCTATCTGCTTCGTAAACACCTAGAACATAGAGAAACCTTATTGATGTTTGGAGTTTGTATGAAACGTTAATGCTTGTCTTGCAGCGAATAGGATTAGAGCACGAGAACTGCAACAAATTATATTCGTTGCTAAAGTGATGCGAGATTTAGGGACGTCATAGAATACAAAAATGTTTGTATGGGCAAAAAAGGGATTAGTTAAAGGAAATATGAATGAGACACTGCTTACCAAAATAAAATATTCCGTTCTTTGTCTCAACATCTGATAAAAACACTCGGTATGGATCTAGCGTGCAGTTCTTTAAGGCATCATTCACGCGCAGCTCAAGGTTTTTGCGTAATGTGCAATTCAAATGCAACTGTGACCCATTCACTTGAATCCTCAACGCTGGATCAATCATACTTTGGTAAATCGAGCATATATTTGCTCTTAGGTCTTCCGCAAGCCCTGTTCTGTTGCATGTGCTCAAATCTGGTAGCGTCCAGTTTTTTAAGTAGTGATCACGTGATGGCCTCGATCCGTAATTTAGGAAAACATGATAATCGACGCAGTAGTTCATCGGTTTTAGCTCGATATGCAAGCTATTGTCATTCTTTATCTCCAGCTTATGAAAGTTGACTCGCTCCTGGCCAGGCCGCTCTTGAAAACGCCAGTGTTGATATTGTATAGGATGAGAAAGTTCACGTTTGAGCTCAAGCTCCACCGGTTTCTGTGTATTCCTAACTGCCAAGGGCGTTTCTCCAGATTTTAAATCGAACTGCGTTACTGTTGTATTGATAAGACGGCTTCGGTTACTCCAAAAATACTCGTTGAAAGTTGTAACTTTGAGCTAAATAAACACGGAGATGGTAAAATGAGCTCTTGGAAAATCAATAAAATGTTACATCATTATATGCGCATTCGCACAGAAAATGAGCTAAAAAGGGGCGTTAAAGAATTATAATTGAAAGGGCACCACATGTTCATACCTAATCCAAAAACTCTCGTAGTGAAATAACCCCTATATTTCGACCGATAAAATCGAGTGTGATATGAAGCTCTTTCCGGCGTTATCAGTTTATTGATCTTTAAATCAGAATAAAGGATTAAACTATTGTCGGGAAGTGCTTTTCAGAATTGCTGAAGGTTTTCGTCGACCCTGCATCACTGAAGAACGCACAATTGGCGCTTAAGTCACAAACTCAGCAAATCGGATGCTTAAGTAGAAGCATTCTCTTTGCAGTTTTGAAAGATTACCGTCAGAGTATTAACAAGACAAAATTTTCCTTGGTATCCAAAAACTGGCCAACTGACTATATGCCGTATTAACCAGTTTGTCCTGCAAGGAACTTTCGGTGAATTTTTTCACTTTTTCCACAAAATTATATTCACTAAAACTTCCCAAACAAGCAAAAAATTCCAATAAACTAACAAACCATACCTGTGAATTAATTACGAGGCTGCTATTCAAATTGAGACTTTCCAAAGATGGCACTGATACTTTGCTTCCCGCAATTGACAAAGTTCTAGTAACATTAAGTTCTGTACCGAGCTTTTTTTCGAGAAGCACAGCAAGGCTTGAAGTCACTATTCTAATTGGCGCATCATAAGGTGACAATCTGGAGAAAAACAAGTTTGTCATTTTCTCGAACCCAGATTGACATCTAAGCACAATAGCTCTTCCCTGCAAAGAAATTTCAAAATTATAACATGATATTAGAATTAGTATATTTTCAAATATCATAAAAAGCAGAACGGAGATAAAGTAGAGTCCCTGCAGTATCAACCAATAAGCTTTATTATACCGCCTAGAAGCTCTCAAGCAATTTGGGTATGCCAGTCTTCAATCACTCATCACTCAATCTTAAAGATTCATATGTAAAAAGCTACTTACACAACCATCAAAAGAAAGCAGTATCATGCTTCTCTGCTTTCAATATAAACAACCAATTTACGGATACTGACGACTTATGGCCTGAAATTTCAATTCTTGGATACCTACTTAGAAAACCAAAATACTAAATTTGTGTCAAAGATTAGAAATCCTTCAAAAGATCAAGTAGTGAGCAAAAGTATATCTTTGGAAGTAAGGATATAACTCCGACTGAGTTAAAAAAACTAGTTAGCATTTAGACGGGTGCTAACGAGCATATTCCTTAATTGAGAGCAGAGGTTAATAATTTTCTTCATTCACAAACCTGTGGCATCTTCCAGAGAAGCAAGTCCTCCTCCGTAGAGTTGCTATCATTTTTGGCTATACGGTTAGGATCTAAATTAACTGATGCCGATCTTGTCACCGTACCCATCGCAGCAAGAATGTTCTGCCCTCTATAGACTATATCTCGAAAAAGGATCGTACTCTGTGTCTGCAAAAGCCGGTCTGTCATCACATTGATGAGATCAGTTGCAATATTTGCAGATTCCAGTGTAAATTGAGAGGGTTCTTGCGCCAACAAGGCGATTTGTGGCGCTATGACCTCATCCGAGCTCGCATTGAGCATCTTGGCAAGAGTTGAAATGGAGCCATCTCGCATCTGCAAACAGTACGTTTGATAATATGAGCATGATGCACGGGATGCAAAAAAAGTTCCCAACAACAGAGAGTAACAAGATTTTTAGTCACTAAATATGAAATAGTCTCGTAGAATACCTCACAAGATTTACAAAATAAATTTTATAAAACAGCAAATTTGTGATCTTTACAATTAAAAAATTAATGAACTTTTCTTTATTACATCTATGTAAATACTAAATGATTATTTAAACACTTAAAGGGCTGCTAAGTAAACAAACATCAAATTTATCTGCTTTCCTAGCATAATTTGCAAATTCTTATTTCCCGTTCAAAATAAATTTTCTACGATTTGCCATGTTCTTTCACACAGGAACCGCTGAAGAAAAGTACTTTAAAGCTTATTGTTGTTCTTTATTCTAATGTTGAGATCATCCTGTTCATTTTCTATGACTAAGAGATCACATATATTGCAAGCTAAAAGGGAGCCTGCACACTTGAGCCCTGTTCAACATATTTGAAGTTTGCTTAGGCCTATACATTAAAAAGACATAGCAAGAGGGTTATGAGGTGACCAAATTGCTAAAAAGCAAAAAATGAATGAATATTATGCAATATGAAGATCTGACGATGCACAGATTTCATCAAACAATAAACCCAAGTGCTAGCAGCACAGAATGAAATTATTCACAAAGATACCTGGATGCTTTTCTTCAGCAAATCTTTGTCGATGTTTTCACTCGGCTGATTTAATACTGACGCAACAGCACCTATAAGCTGGGCCGCCTTTTGACTTGAAGAGCTGTTTTGTATGAGAACCAAAAGATTGTCCAGCTTTTCCACTGTAAGAGTCGGTTTTTTCACCTTAAAATAAATCATTCAACGAAACACAGAATTAAACATTAGCCAACACAAATAAGGGCAAATAAGAGTGATTAAAGCAATGCAGAAGCATTATCCACTGGTTTGCCCTTTCAATGCAAATCGCGGTCGTGATGATCTGAGTGAGAGACAAAAACGAGTGATTGAACTTATGAATGCAGTAACTAAAGCCTTAATCACTGGTTTCCTCTTCAATGCAGCTAGCAGTCGTGAACCTTGAACACACATCAACAGCCTACCATCATCATGAACAGTACAGCTCAAACAAAGTTTTGTAACTGCTGCATAATTTTATAATATTTCAGCTAGAAACCTCGACTCATGAGCTTTATTGGGAAGAAATCTACAAAATGTTATTTGATTTTAGATAATTTCATTGTTTAATCTTGCTACCTCCATCCAACCTTTTTTATTTAAATGTTGTATTATCTAATTTAAATAGCAAAATACACTTTTAAATTATATTATTCTTACTAATTTTTTATCACTTATAATTCAACTGAAAAATATGTGATTGCTGTTATGTGATAATGATTATGTTTAATACTATTAGTTTGTGATAGTGTTTATATTTGATAAAAGTTTGACAATGTGTTTATAATAAAAGTAAGGCCTGATAATTCAAATTTTTAATGGAAGGAAAGACTCTTCCGAATAATTAAAAGTCTGAAATGCCATGAAACGGCGTAAGGTTAAATAATTATGAAGGGGAACAGCTTAGGTTAAATAACTATGAACTGAAATCGGAATCAGAAAAATAAAATAAAAAATCGAATTACATATCATTGCTTTAATTTCTTATGGCTTACACTTTTAATAACTATTCTTGATCTAACATTTACCTTTATATGAAAAAACTTAATTTTATTAAAAGCACATAGAATGATAATTTAAAACTTTAAAATAAGTTATGATTAAATATGATTTAAATTTAGACGAAGGAAGCAATACCTTCAATGTCAAATGAGGAGAAGAAGAATCCTTGTTCTGCAAGATACGATCAAGTTTATGAAAAGAATTAAGGTGAAGATTTAATCTATGTTTATAATTTACAAGTATTCATCATCTTTAAAGTGTATGGTTTATTTCAACGTTTAATGATAAGAGTTTATTCAACATATTGTTGTGACCAAGTAAAAAATTTCATGGCGCAGATCGATAAATCAAAATTTAAACATATCCTTGATAAAGCTCAAATGATTAAATCGCAGAATGATAAATTGATGATTGTTTTTCTACAGATAACTATTTGAAAAGAAATCCACTTTAATAGTGGTAGGTTAGATTGCAATGATTTAAGAAAAATAATTTCATTAACAGTTATTTTTCCAGTTTAAATTTTCAGTACCCGAGGAGTACACTGTTATACATTGGCTTACTGTTACAAAATCCTTGCTTAAAATATTTTGCTTTTGTAAATCTCACAGCACATTGAATGCCAAAAGGTGTACTCTACAATTTTCTAGAGGCTGAGGACGCGGTTGAGCAAGTTTTCTCTATCACTGGATCCCTCATTCTTTATTGTGCAAGGAAAAAACTTTTAATTAAATATTTTAAAAGAGTACTAGTATATAAAATATTCTTACACTGGGCATTAAAACAAAATAAAGAATCAAAATAGCATTTCCATTAAAGTTTGCCGGCCGCCAAATGAATGATACATACCAAGATCGCGTGATTAATTTCGGTGAAGGCCTCAAAAGAATCGATTATCCGTATCCTGATTTGCAAAACTTTATTCGTTTGTCCTTCCATCGGCAAAAACGTCTCGCATGAACTATCTTCGTGTTTACACAAAACCGTGGAGAGGTAGTCCGTCTGGTGAGCAACTTCGTAAGTCAGCGGAACATCTGGATCTGTCCAACCGGTGCAGTTCACTAGGAACAAAGTGTTTATGGCAAAACCTTCGTTTGGGCTCATGGTACAACTTCCTGAAACAGACAAGCAAATACTGTTAAAAGGCTTTAGTGAAGACTACTACGCCAAAAGATGGTTATAGCACCGCAATAGCGTTCGTAAGTGTGATATTAAAGAACCCATTCATATTATATTTTTATTTTGATGACCAATTACAAGGGACCAATTACAGAGATATGATGGGGAATTGAATTTGCAGATTTTTCTGTAATTATTACTTCATGTTAGTGACAACAATCTTTCATCAAAACATATTTTTTAAAAATGCACTGGTATCTATAGATCATAAAATACAGTTCATTAAAACTAGAAATAAAAAACCAACCGTTTTTGGGAGGCTCGTTGACATTGACAATATACACCTGTTCATACGTTGCTCCATCTAAAGCTGTTGCCTTCATTTTGATCGTGTACATAACACCAAAGGAAAGTACATTTGGTTTCATTAAGAGATCTTTGCTAACACTGTTGCTGTATAACTTGGAATCAAGGGAAACCAAACCACCGCTATGCATTAAACTCCATCTGTAGCTCGCTCTCCTTTCGCATGCCTCTGACTTGCAAACAGCCTTTAAAGTAAATTTTCCCGACGGATCTATTTTTCTTCCACAATTCTCTGCACATCTTAGAAAAATATTTAAAGTATACGTTATATCATATTTTGTTATATCATTTCATATCACTTTATGTCACCTCATTCAACATACATTCTACATGTATATTCTACTTTGCTGGTCTTTGCTTAATGCAAATTTGGACCTTGGAAATTTATACTGAAGATTAAGACAGTCGAGATCCAGGAACATGCATTTTTCATTTAGTTGAAAACCTCTTCAATAAAACTAGTAGCTTAAATTTATAGCTGATTGTAAAAACAATCATCCACAGATTATTTAACTAATCTTAGATAGATCTAACTTATTTTGTCAGAATACTCTTGAAATCTACCTAGAGGTTGATAATTGCCATCAATTATAACAATAGAAAAATTTCTCAAAGTACTGGTAAGTATCGTTTCAAATTGCTATATACTTTTATATGGATAATACCAAGAACAGACTGCCTCATTACAAATACCTTATTTCAAAGTATGGAGTCTCCCGCATCCGTACAAAAACTGTTTGGTTTGCTTCTGCTCTTCTTGAACGTGTTTCACTGGCGCCCTCAACCACAACGTAAAACATTATACTGAAAGAGAAATGAAAATATTTGCTGGCAAAATGAATCTGACAGCTATCGAGATATCAGTACTAGCAAATCACCACCTTTCTTGAGTAAACAGCAAGTTCAGTCACTGATATTTGTTAGTGTTATTTGTTATGAGTAATCTGTAACATGCAATTTGTAATATCTAATAAAATTCTAATATGTTTAATGTAATGGTCACAGGATTGCTATGTATTTCCATGCTCCCTGTGGCATTGTCTTGCAGAGCTTCAACCATTGAAAAGACTGGTTGGGTAATGACGTATTGCATCACACTGTGTTATACACTGCTAAGTAACACTTCGATGTAATATCATCACACTGTAGCCAAATACTATTCTTTATGTTGCAGCTTTTGCAAGCCTAGCTTCATTTATTGCAAAGTTTTACACGAACCGTTCTCAGTACCAAAAATGTCATGGCTTAGGGGATGCTTGTCTTCATCAAGTCTTACTGTATCAAGAAAGGTTACTGTAAATAATATAAGATTTTTTTAAGGACGAATCTTCCAACTCCTGTGAATAAATAGCAAATACATCTACTTAAGTTTGAAAAGCCAGAAAAACATTAGGAAATCGATGCTAAGTCAGTAATACAATCCAGCATACATACGTGTGGTTTTCCTGCAAGAATGTTGAATTAACAGAAATCGTTTTCGTCGTATTGGACACATCTAGTCTTCCAAATGGCTTACCAAAACAACCGATAATCGACTATGGAAGAAACAGCAATATTCCAAAAATCCATAGCTGAACAATCATTGATTAATCAATGTTCAATCAATGACCATCGATTCAATTATCAATCGATTAATGATTTGACAATCAGACTAATATTTCAATGTGATTTTTATGTAAGCAATCAATCGTTGATTTAATGATTTATACAGACAAATCGCAAGCAAAGGCAAATCAAGCCATTCACTTCTCTCTCTATAATACGGCATAATGCTGATATATACGGTAAATATTATAAAATGTACATTAAAGTTATGCTTTCTAACCATAATCATTTCTAGTACCTTGACATTTCATAGAGAGGGATGATAAATGCATGTTTCAATATTGACACCAGTGTTACAGTAAATTTGATTGTAGATGTCCATTTTCATTTCTAGTCAAAACTTTTGAATCCTACCTGATCTGTTTTCTCATTGGTAACATTCGATGTGCTCATATTTGCTGTATTGCCAGATAAACCAATTACTGTGCTATTATTGTTCATCTGTAAAATTGCAAAAGCAAAATTACAGATTATTTCAATATTAAAACACGACAAAAACGTGTCAATAATGTGTAGGTATTACGATGTTTATTATGCACTATTTTTGATGCTTAAGACTTATATTATATTATATAGACTGATATTTTTTGGAAAGTAAAATTATTCAACCACAAGTTTGATCTTTTTGAAGGTCTCTATAGCTTAATTATTCACAAACGTTTACTAAACCGGTGAAGTAAAATTTAAAGAGGGGCGGAGCCAGCAAGTCTAACACAACTTTGACATGTCCAGGGGATTGTGCTTGCAAAAATATTGCGTATTAAAATGGTCACCATACATTAAGTGGGTAGATAAATTAAGCAAAAATAAAGCAAGTTTTAGACATGGCTTGAGCTCTAAAGGTCGGATCAATAGAGATAAGATAAATTCCTTTGTAAATTCATCTTTAAAAAAATATGTTTGTCCACTCATCAACTGAATATCGACACATATTTTATGAAAAACCTTGAAAATATTGCTTAAAAATCGTGCAAAATGAAATTATTGTATTACTCCATGTTAAATTGTATTTAAAGAAACAGACTCTTTCCAGTTGAAGGAAAATTTCGAAAATTGTATTTTCACAGACAAAAAGACTTTTCACAGATAACGACAAACATTTCAATTTTCGTAAATTTATGGTAATAAAACTACCGACTGCATAACCATTTATCAAACTTACTGTTGGTGAGATAAAAAAGGAGGTATCAATTGTAGTAATGTTTTTGATGCTGAATAGGTCACGTGATTCCAGTTCAGTATCTTTGCAGTACCAGGTAAAGCTGAGATTTTTGCTGTAACCATCAGGGTCGAAAGAGTTTGAAGCGTTCAGCAGAATCTAAATCGGATTGGTAGGAAATATAAACACGTAAATCATAAAGGTTTGAAAGCTAGGCTTTTCTGGTATCAGCGAATGGTCTTCGGCAAGAATTTACACATCAAAGGCTATATGATGATTCTAAGTATTCAGCATTATTGATGAAAAAAGCCAAAACTAAACTAAAATACGGATATTGATTCCATCAAGTCGCAAGTTCCATCATCTAAACAATTTAATAAAATGTCTATTTACAGGGGAACCTCTTAAAAACAGATCTTTGACTCTAAAACAAATTGTACTGCCTGTTATGAAGTTTATCTTGTCTGGAAGGTAGTTCTACAAATATTTTACAGCATTAGATAATTATGAGATGAACTAATCTAAGTATTGTTTGGAGTTGTTGATTTTTAATAAATGCTTGTTGATCGAGGTGTCACTGCACTAACTAGGGACAGCTAATGATTGATATTTCGACAACCTCGAGCAAATTTGACATCTAAACAAACAGAGGTCTGAGTCGTAGACAAACTGAAACTCACCATTTCGTTATATGCGTAGATACGGTGTTTGCTTCCATCAAGAGATGCAACCAAATCAGTGTCGTTCAAAAATGACCCAAAAGTGATTTTTTCTTTAAAGTCGGTGGTCAACAAGCCTCCAGTCATCTGAACATTTATTTCCACCAAAAAGGAGCCATAATTCAAAGTACAGCAAGGAATTGACATTGTATGATAATTTTTTCCAAATTCAAACAACGAATTCGGTAACAGGAACTTAGGGTCAACCATTACAGAAGATTTATTTGCAGATAACGGCGGGGAGAAAACTTTCCATGATATATTGTAGATGGCATTCACTTCACAATTTACTCCCACTGATGTCACGGCATAAACAAACTTTTCAGATCTATATAAGGTTGACAAAGGACCTCCAGTATAAGTGTTCAGGTTCGTGCCGTTACCTACGATGGACAATAACCATTGATTAAAATGTGTCTTGATTAGGTATTCACAATCTTACGAGAATTTTTTTGATAGCTAATTGAAACAACATTAGACGTAATGTAAAAAACGAGTTGTTGGTAGTTTGTTGTTGAGATGGTGAAATTAAAGGATAGTAAAAAACAGCACAAGCAATGTTAAAGTTTGAAGAAAACATATCAAATAAAATACAACAAAAGGAAATCACTGTTTCACCGGTCTGTCACAAGTGCTCGATGCCGTACAGGCAGAGCTGCACATGCTTCGGTGTATAGAACCATCTTGTAGGCAGAGCCGTATACTCTATGGTACCCACAGTTTCGAACCCCATAAATATACCACAAAGGAAAAGGATACCGTATCGAAAATTCCCATTACAAGCGGTTTATACATTTCAACGTGATTGGTATATCTTCATTCAAAAGCACGGACATAGTTACACATTCATTAGTATCAAACACTCACCTTGCACAATTACCACGGGGTTGTAACACGTCTTTGCAACTATCGATAGACTTTTCTGAAGAACATACAGCTTGTTGCTTGCAGTGACTTTTACTGTTAGGTTTCCCCGATTTCGGTAAATTGTCGTGGTTCTGCAGTCAGTGAACATTGGATTACAGCCTGCACTATGGCTTCTACCCATTCTACACTGCTCGGCCAGGGGGCTACCATTGTCGAAATCAACTTGCACACACTCACAGTTAGCGGGAGGAGTGAAGTTCAATGAGACCGTCTTGTTCACGACAACAACAGGGAATGGGGTGATTGCTAGTGAAAAATCTTTAACTGGCTCTAGTACTTCAAATGTCTTTTGATATACATAGTCATTACACCCGTCAACAACGAGTTTGAATAGAAATGAACCGGTACTAGGGAAGGTGAAAAACCAATATGGTCCTGTAGTTTGCTCCGAGACAGACACACTTCCATTTATGCTCCAGTGGTAAATAAACCCATTGGCGTTCGGTGAAACTATAGCGGTAAAGTTTATTCTCTCAAGCATTGGAAGGTAGTCAGCGTGTCGAGCAGGTAGAGCCTGAGGCGACGACATAGTGAAGTTTGTAAGAACAGCAAGGACGGTAACATTGCGGGCAATTCGAATCGAGCCGGATGTCTGCATACTCGAAACATTGTTCCAAGCCCGGACTAGCACTGTTTTCCAACCGGATTCACCATACATATATGGATATATAGAAAAAACATTAGCAGTTATATTGTCTGATTGAAAGTTTTCTTTTACCTGAGTGTCAACAGAAAGAGTTTTGTAAACTGGACGTCCTTGTGTCAAAGTGGTTGGCACCAACAAAGTGGAGTTATAGCACAGAAAACTTGGAAGGTTCATGGAGATGCCGGCCATCCTTAACTGAGCTTGGAAATTTACGCTGCTTTGTACCTGCCCTAAAATATTCCGACAGACAACATCGATTCGGTGACTGAATGAAAACAAGTTTGTAGCCAAACCAATGACGTAAGCCTTTCGTCCTAAGGTATGTGCTTGTTGATACCCTAACAGCTGCGTGTAGGTGAAAGTGTTAAAAATGGCAGCCGTACTGGCACTTATGTTACAGCTCATCTTATTGCCTTGTAGAAAAATTAAGCGAATTTGAAAAGATTGTCCTGTTTGCACAAGGTTGTTGCTTAATTCAAGGGAAAAGTTGGTCATAGCTTCGGGTATTAGCTTCAGCTGCAACACGGTTGGGGTGGTATAAACATAAGCGACATTGAGGCGGCTGGAGCACCTTCCAGTCACGGTACTGGTTATATCGCCTACTGCTGAATAGGTATAGGAACCCTTGAATTCTCTGTCAGCCTTGATAGTGTTCATTTTTACGAATCCATAGCTAGGGATCGTAACATGACATTGCAAGGATGTCCCATTTTGAATATCCAAGTAGAAATCAATAGGCTTGTTTATGAAATAGTAGGAGACAGGCTCAATCAACTCTGACTTGAAGGTCTGATTTACCTATGGGAAAATAAAACAAGGTTAAGTTGAAATAAAGTAATGCACTCTAAAACATAGCAGGGAAGGACGTTAGACTGTCTACCCGCCTCCCATTAACAAAATGAGATCTTACATCCAAACCTTACATCCAACGATAAAACAACTTGCTTATGCATAAATGCCTTTAGTGTCTATTTCTGGTACATACCCGTAATGACACTCCAGCGATTTTCTCGTCTAAAAAGATATCTACTGGTGAGATGGAGGAGCTGCCACACCAATCCGTGTAAGTGAACTGCAAAACATGCTGTGAAGGCGCAGTCAGGCCTTTTGGCAGCGAGATTGTCTCGTCCACCCAACCAGAAGCCGTGAAAGTGCGTCGATTAGTTTCGCTGCTGTTGACACTAACGATCGAGGTTGTCGTATGCAATGCATAGTAGCGAACAGTAAGATTGTGAATTGCATCTGGACCTAGAGGTAGAAACGACATAAAGCAATACACAAGCGTATAAATACCGTTTCCACATGATCTATCTACGCTTAGGCGTGGCTCTTTTATACAAGGAATCCAGACGATAAGTAATCCTAAAGCAACAGGGCGTCTCTTCTCTAAAAGTCCATTCTTCCATGGGCTACCTAAAGATTTTCTATATTCTCTCTTATTAACAAATTGTTGAACAAGGAATTCAACATAGGTATCTTTTCCCTTTTATTGATCATACGTGAGGCTTGAATTGGTCGAAAAATGGATCTGCTAGTATCAGTGAAAGAAATTGGAGCTTCAACGGTGTTAGTACAAGTTGAAAAACAAAACTTTTATTCAAAAGGGCATACACAGGTACGCTGGGGGTATTTCTGGTGCCCTAGGAGGCACTTAATGCTGGAATGCTTTGGTAGTTGAGTAATTTCAAATCACATCCCGATAATAAACTTGCGAAGTATTTTCAACGAGTATAGGATCAGAACCGTTATCTGCCATTAGCTGCCGATTGACTACTTACCTTTCCATAAGCCTTGGGACTTTAAATTTCGTCAACCTCAGACAGAAATCTTTCAAGGGTACGTTTCTTAAGCTCTTAACACAATGTTTCAAATATTTATGTTTTTGAATCCTTTAAGAAAGAACATAATCAACTGCCCGTTTTACACGTATAGAAAACAGAATCTCGAATTTCTTTTTAAACAAGTGGAAAGCATTAATGAAAAAGTCATACTCATTCATACCTAAGTATTCGATGCCAATGCCTCCCCCGTATATGGTCGGCGTGTATGAAACTCCAGGATTTGATGCAGGACAAATAATCAATGTTCTTTCTAATGACGACTGGTAGAAATCATTTGAAGCGACGCCTTTAGGCTTGTAAAGACCTCTTGAAAAACTATGCTTGCAATAATTGAAGTCACACGTTGCTCCGTCTCCAAATGAGAAATGGTACCTTGAGAAAAAGTGACAGTCAATGCTGAGAGTTGCTGCACTTGGAGCGTGTTGGGGCAAGTAAGGGATACGGAAGCCCTTCATGATTGCAAATCATACTTAAGGACGGTGATTTCCTTTGCGTAAAAAGGAAACCAGAAAAGCACCGTTGATGGGAAACCAATTAAACAAATTTTAAACTTGAATAGACCACATTTAATTATAAAGAAACTGTTTGGGGGCAATGTTTACTTGTTCCCTTACCAAAAATGACTTATTAATACGTTGGTAGTTCTTGAAATGTATTCAAACAAGAATAAAGGGAATTGGAGAAAAAAAATGGAGAGAATAGGAATCTCTACGAAAATATATCTTTTATTTATAAACACAAAAAAATCCGTTCGCAAAAATGTAATTCTACTTATTGTCTCACAGAAACATCCGTTCGCAAAAATGTAATTCTACTTATTGTCTCACAGAAACATCCGTTCGCAAAAATGTAATTCTACTTATTGTCTCGCAGAAACATCCGTTCGCAAAAATGTAATTCTACTTATTGTCTCGCAGAAACATACGTTCGCAAAAATGTAATTCTACTTATTGTCTCGCAGAAACATACGTTCGCAAAAATGTAATTCTACTTATTGTCTCGCAGAAACATACGTTCGCAAAAATGTAATTCTACTTATTGTCTCGCAGAAACATCCGTTCGCAAAAATGTAATTCTACTTATCGTCTCGCAGAAACATACGTTCGCAAAAATGTAATTCTACTTATTGTCTCGCAGAAACATCCGTTCGCAAAAATGTAATTCTACTTATCGTCTCGCAGAAACATCCGTTCGCAAAAATGTAATTCTACTTATTGTCTCGCAGAAACATACGTTCGCAAAAACGCAAAATCTCAGAAACGTCAATTCGCAAAATTGTGTTGATGTTATTAACTCTGAAGCAAATAGTAAGTAAAGGCAAGAAAATGCAAAAGTATCAAGGTAATAAAGAGAAGTAGAATATTGAAGCCAAAATGATTGCTTTAGTAAGGCCGAGAAAAATAATTGCACCTTTTTATTTGATATGGCTGGTCTGCAGTCTCCAGGTGAAACTCGATAACACTGCTCTCTGTTTTGACTAATGGGGATACTTCCGACGAATCTAACTTTAATTTAAGTCCATTGATTGGCCCCTGCACAATGAAGTCTACTTTATCAGTTGATATCCAGCCAGTGGAGTAGTTAACACCAAGCTCAATGGTCGCTTTCCCCCGGGAGCTGAATATGTAGCTCAAGGTTCCATTTGCCATGACGAGGTCTTTTGTGCCGTCAGGGTGTGTCATTTTGAAATAATAGCTGAAATATGAAGAAAAATTATATCAGCGGCAAGTTCAATTGATATTAGCGATGATATTAACAAGATTGTAGTCAAGGGTTTATTCTAATGAGTAGAAAAATTTGGCCATGCCCCCCCCCCCCACTTTTTTGCGACGCAAGTAGCTTTAAAGTTGCTGTAAGAGTAAAGAAGCCTTCGCCCCATACATTTGCTAGCCTTGTTTTCCCCCACTTTAAAATTTGTGGCGTAGGCCCTGGGTTGTGATGTATCAGTGAAGCAGGCACATGTTGTAGTGGTATCCCAGCAAACAGTATATCACTCTTCAGACACTTAAAGTCTTGGCGTTTTACTAAGGGCGACCAATAATCACTGTGATGTGGCAGGGTCGAGTAAGGTATCAAATGAATGAAGACTTGATCTCTTATAAATTGATGATAGTTATCAAAACCAATGATTCTTTTTTAAAATATCAAGGTATCTTAAGCTCCCTATCCTTATTTGTTTGGTAGCAAAGACGTCTTGCCTACCTAATCCATGTTAAGATATCATCGATGTAGTCAGGCAACATAGGCATGTCTTTAAAGCGTGTTAAGAGTCAGACTACATTAAACCCAAAGGACTGCGCTTGTGCGGAGAGACCAAACTTCATTTACATCAACTATGGATACCGATTGGCCAAAAGACATCCTATCAAAAGTGGTGCTTTTCTTATTGGCTAATTTCTATTCACGCCTTGGTTTAGACCTGCAAATGCTTCAAGTCAGTGACGTGAAATTCACAAGCATTATTCGAGACGGAAAAAAGGCTCACGAGAGGCAGAAGAGCTTTTACCTTAGTTTTGTACCAACAGAATTCTGGGATTCTGACATTGAAACTACTGTTGTATTACCAATACCAACAGAAGCAGGCACTGTTACTCGTCCTGGTAAGGCAAACATGAGAAATATTAATCGATTGCAACTGTCCTAAGTCGGTAAGAAACCAAATCTTTTACATCTTTAATGATAGATGCTTGGTGTGTAGAAAAGGACGATTCAAAGTTGCTTGCATCTCTTCTAGTATGATCATTAGACGACTACTTAAGCGTGAGTAATTGTGCTTCTTGATGATCGCATCAAGCGTGAACCTCAGAGAAGCGACATACAACAGTCCTCTTCTACAAACAGAAGCATGCACAATACAAATCGGGCAATGTAACGAACTGATTAACAGTAATCTTCACTCCGTAACATAGGGAGCAAGTATAAATAAAAAAAGAGAGTTGTTACACATGTATAAAGATAGTACAACCTAAAACACGAGAACCGTAAATCCGAGAGTAAGCCCCCTGGGGCTTATTTGCAAAAATGAATTTTTGGGTTGGGGTTTATTCGAGGGGGGCTTATTCGAGGGGGTGGCTTATTTCAAAACTTAGTATTTTTCTCAAAAGTCGACTGATGTCATTAAAAGAGTTACAAAGTGCTGTGTGAAGATCTAACAAATATTATAACTTTTTATCATCACAAAAGTCGCTTTTTTGCTTTTTGGTCTCCAGTCAAAGGAAGTAATACTGTATAGCTATTGTCCTGTGGGGGCTTTCTTGAAATAAGATATTATTCTGTAATAACGCTTCCGGGGGAGGACTTATTTGCAAAAATGATATTTTAGGTTGGGGCTTATTCGAAGGGAGGGGGGGGGGGGCTTATTCGAGGATCTACGGTGATGCTTCGCAACACTGCTTCAATTGCAAAATTTGAAAAAGTATACATCTCACATACGAGATATTACTTTGAGTTGGACAAATTCTGCATGAAAATTACCAACTTAATAAGCTTACCAAACTGAACACTTAATAAGCTTACCAAGAAAGCAACCATACAGCTCTGTTCTGAACACTTTATCACCATAAAACGTTATTGGGTAAATTCTGATTTCATCAGCATAAAAAGGGTTTGCAAAAGTGAACTTTGTTGTTGTCCTCATGTCCCCAATAAATCTCTAAAATTACAGAGAAAAAAGAAAAAGCAAACGTTTAGGAAAAGCATATGAAATTCGAGGACTCTTGATTGTTTCAAATATCAAATGTTTTCATTGCTCTTCACTCTATGTTTTCATAGTCCTTTTTTCTCAAATTCATCAACATACAGCTATGAAAATTCTTAAACTAAACATCGTAAAGGCTTGCTTGGACAGTTTGCTATTTCAAAACATATTGCCTCTCGGTCAGCTGTTTTATTAAGTATGTTTTTTTAATATTTATAATTGTAAGACGTCATTCAGCCTAAGTGCTAATCCTTCACCATCTCTGTACTTTTCATCTTTCTATGCAGCAAATTTGTACTTTATTCAAACAAAATCCAAGCAATAACAATCACATTTTAATTGCTATGGGCATGGTAGTTCGTCCTCATCATAACGGTTATCGCTTGCAGAAAAGTTTTAGTAAATTCCTAAAGGGTTCTTGAAGGCGCTTACAACAGAGAGATCAGTGCAATGAAATCTGATATTCAATAGACAAATACCGAAATGCATTGTAATTACCTTTGTTTTATTGGCCTCTTTATAAAACGTCTCAAATGTTGTAGCTGGCTTTTTGACATCAAGATCATTGATTGTAACCTTATACCATAATTCCATACTTTTTAAATAGTAACGTAAACTATCCGGACTTCCTTGTACAGCTATGCCGTAAATCCGGGCACGTTTTTCAAGCTTGATTGTCAAATAATGCCCAGCAGCATACTCATGATATTTGGTACCGGACTCGGTTGAATAAGAGCTCGGATGGTTCAACCTTGCAAAATCCGCATTGGGTCGTCCATCAGAGTCAGTCAGGGTGTGAAGGCTCCCACACTGTGGACTAGCAAAGTATCCAACACGTATAGGATGGAGCTGACAATCTGAAAGAAATCACATTCACTTACAGCCAGATTACTTGAAGAAATGACTGTGCATATTCTAATAAGCTTAAAAAGATTGATTGAGAATCCATCTAAAAGTGCTCTGTACATCACACCATTAGAAAGGGATACTTGGTGCGGTATTTAAATCATTCTACATAATTCCAAGGTGACTTGAGATACCAAATGTAAATAAAGACATGGTCATTGAAAAGTACGTTCAGAAACAGAGGTAGGAATTGGCTCTAAACTCTGTGATAGCTTTGATACTTGCTTTCTGAGCTATAGATGTCAATATAAAAGATGTTTCCTGGTAAAGCTGTGGATATCAAAAGTTAACAAAGGTCATACCCCTTTCAGTTCGAAACATTGACATTGATTGACTATTTTCACAATATCATAATTAAGCAGGGCTGTAAGGCTGTAAATCTGTAGTGTTTAGAAAATGAGCTGGGGTTATCCCCAAGTTCTTTTGTCAGTATTTAGGGGTGAGTTTCTTCTCAAGGCATTAGCATGGGTTACCATTTGGGGGACTATTTGATATTAGATCTGACTTACTGATTATTTGCTACCGTGTCCAGTCAATATTAAATGCAATCTTAAGACTTCAATATGAACATTAATACAACATGTGAACATCTACCATCATAGAGATTGAATATTCATAAATGCCAATCACGGGGTCATTCTGATTGCCTCAAAATTGATTATTTCGCCGTTATTCCAAAAGCTGTTGTTATTTTAATCAGTGTTCTTCGTAAGCAGGTGGGTGACTTGTTTTAATGTTTGGGATGCCTATCTCTTCCAAACACGGTTGTTTGTCTACGCAGTCAACACAGATACGCTTATGTTTGCCTATTTCATAGGTTAATAATTCGACAAGTGTGCGACTCAGATTTATCCATTGCATTTACATTCGCCTAGATCACATAGAATTGAGTGCGCATGCTCAACCAATACCTTGAATCATGAAATTCAATATGGCGGCAAACAAAAAATGCAGCATTCTACTTTGCAATTAACTTAATTTTTTAACAAATGAGAATGACAAAGGTAGGCAAAAAGAAATTAAAAGGGAACAGTATGTCAAACTGGTGTTGATAAGAAGTAGGAACGAGGAAGTTTTATAAAAGCACTCTTCGTTGCTGTTTTTGCAACCTTCCTAAACAATGTAACTAGGCCTGAATAGAACTTCTCTATCTAACTCACTTTTTTCATGCTAATGATGCGTCTAAAATTGCAATTTAATATTATACAACGCATAAAGCTTGCTGACAAATTTTCAAGCCTAAATGTCCAGAATTTTACCAGTGCGATAATTGGCTGAAAGCTGAACCGACAAGGAAATAATGAATGCAAACTGCCATTTGTCGAGTACAAACAATGGGAATGATGTATGATTTAACAATGCCAATAATAAAAATAGGATTAATAAAAAAATCACAGTTAATTAGAATGCATCAGTGTCAGATTTCATATCAAAACTGTGTTTACAAAGAATTTTGGGATTTCTTTAGAATAGATTAGCAACGGCTGTTATAAAAAATGCTATTTTACACTGCTTACTAAGCAATTTCCCTTCCAAAGATTTTTTAGTAGCATTGGTGCTGGATTTCAAGTAAGACACGACGCAAAATGTAAAATAGTTCTAAAAGTTCTTCAAACAAATTTCCTGCATAACTAACAGGAATAATATTAACGCTAAAATATATTTTAACAAAGAAAAGTATAGTAGTTGCTAACTGTGAAAAAACAAGTTGCCGCCAGTCCTACCTTTTGAACCACTTTCACCAAATTAAAGGGGTTCCTAAAATTCCCTTCAACGAAACAAATGAATAGTTCTCAAGCTACTTTAAACGTTAAGTTATTTTTATTCTTAAGCATCTTAAAACAGTCAATGTCGAATTTAGCTGCCTATAGACATGTGGTTATAGAGTCTCTTGGTAGAGAGCACTTCCGATTAAATAACTGACGCTTTTCGAAGGTTTAAAGGATCTTAATTACCTGCAACTGGATTGTAAAACGCATCGTCGCAATGTGAGCCATGAACCTACGGAGATACAAGAGCATGAAAAAAGTGTTCTGTTATCTAAGTTTTAATTACTTTTTGCCAAATTTGTAATTAAAAACCAAATTGTACCAAGATATTTATTAAAAAATAATAAAGAATGGCAGGTTTATCTTACAAATCAATCGAAAGACCAGGTCTAGCAAATTTTTCAAGTTCAACAAGAGAGGCAAGAGATTCCATCCTTGTGCAACAACAACCGAGCTTAGATTTAGCTTATTATTTCGGATACAAATATAGCATTCCTGTAGAAGTTGAACACTCCTTCGTTTCAATGCAAGATTGTATCATATCAACATCAAAACGAGACAAAAACAATTGATATTTACCTTTACAATTTTTTGCGACAGGAGAAGCAATATTACCACTGATGTGATTGAACAAAATCTTTGTTTCATTTTATGGACGTTTTTCAGAAAACCTTGATAAGTAATAAAAATTACCAAAAACTTTATATTCCGGAAAAATACTTTAAAGTAAAAGAAATAAGCTTAGGCATCAAACGAGGATGCAAGTCAAATGAATTGAAAACTAAACAGAAAGACATAGGGAAGACAAAAGGATAGTAAAAAGGTTTGGATACACGGTGAATGTCAGTGAAACAGTAAACAAAGTATTCAACAATAATTTACGGGTCTGTCATTTGAAATTCAAGACTTTCAAGACAAGATGTTCAAAACTCAAGAAACTTGAACGTATCAATCCAAAAACAGTTCTAATAAGCAATTTCAATTACATTGACAAGAAATATAAAGAAAAACGCAAGCACAAGACCGGTATAGTTGACCAATCAGTGCCGCGTGCCTAAAGAAAAATTACCACTGGACTCCAAGAGAGAAAACGAACTCCTTCTGTCTACACAATGGCGGTTTTTTCGTTTGTATGTAGATCGATTCCAAAACTGCTTTGGAATTGATCTACATACAAAAGAAATATATAAAGGTGTTGAGGGAAGAGAATGAGTATCAACCAGAGTTACTTGATCATACAAGATCAGGCTTCCTACCTTGCCTTACTTTGAAATGAAAAGGAAAAAGCAAAGTAGCAGATCCTCTCTCAACTAGTTCACCAAATAAAAGAATTGAAAGAATAAGATTTTCATGTGAGTTCTGCAAACTTGCTTACAAATGCACCTCTCTCCTTAATTAAGAATGTTTCCTAATTGTTCGACTATAAAGGTTCAGTTTCAATTGATGCCTCCAGATCAATACATTCAGGCTAAGGCTAACAATGATAAGACAATTCTTATCAACATTTGAGCCAGCAATTCAACAGTAACAGCAACTCAACCCATAATAAATTGTTTGCAGCTTTGAAGCCTTTTTATAGGCAAGAAAGCTTTCTCCTTGGTTTCATTAACAGGCTGGAATACATGTCAGTGTTTTTGGGCAGCAACTCAAAGACTTTAAAATACTTTCAGGGCAATAAATGTATGAGATACAACTAAAAAAAGAATTCATTAACTTTTTGAAAGAAATCATTTACGGTGTATCTCGGGCTTTAGATAGCCAAACGAGCAAGCCAGTCAAAATTAACAGCTACAGTCTCGACGAGAAATTCAGAAATGTATCAAACAACCTTGAGTAAAAATGAACTTATCCTGCATCTATAAGATCACATTTTAAATTATTGTTATTTTGAGGACAAACAGTGTTTCTTGTAATACCTTGGTTTGCAGCAAACATTTTTGCAATACGTAATGCTACCTGAATTATTGCAAATAAAAACTTACCGACGAATACTTGTCGAAATGTCTAAGTAAGTGGAGCTCTTTAAGTCATTCAACTGGCTTCATGCGTAAACTGTATGTGCAAATTAATTGAAAGACATTCTAATCAAACGAGGATTGCAATGGTTTGACGCACTTTCAGCCTCTGCATTTGGCGCTGCAAGTCAAACGATGACATAATTTACTTACATGTGGCTGTATTGCAAAATGCGTACATCAATCAATTATTGCAAATAGATCAAATATACATACAAATAATTGCTTGCTATTTAATTCAACAAATTTGTCGAGAAATGAAGCAAGAAAACTTACTCGAGACAATGTCACTCAGTGTCATACATGTTTCAATTTTTCAAACAGCCAATAGCGACAATCTCTTGGAAATGCCAAAGAAGATACTTACTGGAGCTCTGCCTTGTTATTTGATCACTCCGCAAGCGCTTCACACAAACACCACCTGTGTATACAAAGTGTGTCAAGATTCACAGTCTATTGGCCGCCAAACTATCATGTAAAAGGTGTTAGAATCGAAATACTTTTATTTGCAGAGCTGCCCTGCGCAAGGTGCTCGCATTCAGACACCCTATATCTGTTAACGTCAAACAAACAACTTTGTTAGCTGACAAATCAGATGTTATCTTGCAAATTTGTGGTTGAAGAAAAAATTCAGAAATATCGCCTCAATAGGAATATCTTTCTGAAGGTTACTTAAATGCTGGCAAAGCTGGTGCCTACTGGCATTTTCAAAGTTGGAATTTGTGATGATGCTTGCTGGAGATTTCATCTGGCATTTGTAAACAGGATGGCTCCTTTCGTCAAGCTTCAAGAGGAAAGACAGTGAAAACAGCGTTAAAGACGCTGGGGGCGTGAAATCTTGGGAAAATACCGCCTTCTCAGAGGCAACTCTTCACAGCCTCTCAAAGGTTTCCTCTTTACCTAAACACAGTGGCTTTTCCTTCCTGAAACCCTCCAACTTTGAAATGCAACTAATGACCAAAATCAGGGGAATGCCATCTTTAAATCGGCAAACAGTTTAAACATGCACGGATTCATTAAACTAAATGGTATTGAATTACATTGCTGGAACAAATAAAATCAATTTACTAATATTTAAAACTAACAGAACCGTCTCCAAATTCATTGCAGGTATTGAAAAAAGAAAGGCAAGACGTTATACATAAAAAAGCTTTATACTTTTTTATACGGTTAAAAACAAAAGAGGTTTACGTAAAACAACAAAAACACTAAATGAAATGAAGAGCTTTATCATATCATGGAGAATGTGAGGAAATTAAAACACTTACTTTCAACAGTTGATCTTGCGTGATCATGCTTTTTCGCGATTCCAACGGCTCTAGGAAAACAAACAGAGAAGAAATAATCAGAAGAAAGGGCGCCAGGATTGATCACTGTAGGGCAATAAAATATTAGACTGTTTACAATGACGTCGAGAAAAAGGATTGAGGCTTGCATGCTGCGTCATTTGAGATGCAGGCCAATACAAACAAAAGAAGAAATCCTATCTATTGATGACTGTAATTCATCTATGACGTCAATAGAACTACTACCTGAAGTTCACGCCACTAGAAAAATAATCCATTATATTTCTACTTTGTCATTTTCAGCATTTTTCATCCAGTTCTATTCTGTTGAACGCTTCCTTTCTTTCATGGTAAGGCAATACTTAAAATGCTCATCAAAACCTCTGTGGCGAAACCAGTAAAAGCTTCCTTGAACTATGTTAAACTAGCCTCAATTTCATACCTTTTTTACTTTTCAAAGCTTTACAACCAAAGCAATAGTAGTGTGAAGTAGTCTGAGACTATAACATTGAGAATATGTAAAAGCGTCTGTGCGTAGGATCCAGGGAATTACCCACTATCTGTTGATAGGACTACAGTGTCATCAATAAAATGGAGTCAACAGGAAATGAGCACAATTATGGAGGATTGTTCTGAATCAATTATCTGAGAGACTATATCGTGAGACGTACGTGGCACAGTTCCCCCTTGCAGGACAATGGTGCCAATCAAAGTTGCAATAAGACATCGTTTTCTGTAGTAAATATAAATGTATGTATTTAGTATACCTTTCGTTACATCACTCGCACAGGTTTTACGAGCCTACTCCTTATGTCTAATGAAAAAACCAGACTCATCAATGACTTATTTGAAGTGCTGGATGAAGTTCTTAGTTTTTCTAACAAATGCTGCGATATTCAAAAAAGGTCTGAATTGCCAACTATCTGAATTGCCCTCAATGGCTAATAGAAGAAAAATTAATAGCAAAATTAATTAAATTGAGACTGAAGATTGCTACAACCCCCTCCCCCCCATTAAGACCTCATTGCTTCATTCTGCTGCCAATCCTTGTAGCCCTGCCTGTGGACTGGGACATATAATGGAAGTTGCAGCAAGTGACGGAATATGCTTTAATAAATAAAATACTTACATTCATACAAAGATACTTGGCTCCATAATAAGGTTCCTCAAAAAGACACTTGGTTCCCAGAAAAAGCAAACTGGCCGAAATGGTCAATAGGGTACAAGAAGGGCAGGTACAAGTAGGGAAAAGTGAGACTTTATTCTTCTCCTTTACACTAATATCTCTGTTCTTACTTAAAGGAACTATTTCTGAGTGTCGAGGTAAAGCTTCAATACACAAGTTTATACAACAAACTAAATAATGCAACGGAATAACAAACAAATATAAACTCGCATTTGATGGGGAAGCTTATTGGACTTAAAAAATCAACTTGAATGTTGACCTTCATAAACATGAAAGGCAGTCGGCACGCCTCGAATGATCAAACTAGCTTACCCTGTTTGTAACTTAACCTGTAAATTTAATTGCACAAAGAAAACGGCTGCCTTTTTGTATACAGCTCTGCTATGCTACTCTTTATTCCAACGCAACGGATCATTCATTATAATGCTTTGAAATGAGAACCTGGTGCCAACATTGTTTAGAGCTAAGCTTACCAGCATGCGCAAGATACACCGTACGAACCTAGCGCTTGAACTAACGAGATACATTTTAAGGAGAAAATATATTGACTGTAGTTGGGTGGGGTGGAGTTTGCAGATGATGATGGTATTTTGGGTGCTCCATAATCTTTACACGAACACAACGAATTTTTAAATGAGAATTTATGTTATTGGAGTGGCTCAAAAAATGTAAACAACCTTTCTCCATGATTCTAAGATTCAGCTATAAGGCAGCTGACTTGTTAGCTATAGTTATCTTTATGCTTATTTAAAACAATCACAAAATTTAAGGTTTTAATAGTGATATCAATTTTTAATCGATTAAGTTTTCTTTTCTTTTCAACGTTTTCAAGTTAATTTGCAAAACAGATCCTAATCTGGAACTATTTAAGTTCTTGTCCAGTTGCCTGATACGCGCATTAAGCGTGAAAACTCATTGTGTTAACTTCGAATCGTCTACATGCGGAAATGTGTACGCTGACAGATCGGTAAGACAGTAACTTTTATAAAGTCTTTATAACGATATGAAATAGTGATGACTTAATGCTGTAATGTGGGCGACAAAGTGAATAAAACAATAAAGTTAGGTTTTGCCAGAGCTACCGACAGTAAACAAGATGCAATCTAGCATCAATAAACATCGTAGGTGACAATAAGAAGAAAAACAGGTTGTTGTTTAAGAGTGCAATAACTAAATTATGAATTATCATGCCATTGCTGCAGCTAATGATATTACCAGAAATGCATCACCGAATCATGCAAGCTCATCGCCAGAGATGCATCACTTAAAGATAACAGCGATGTTCAGAGCTTTTTAGAGTCTATATGGAAGATTACATAGAAGGTGAGTTTGTTATCTGGCGATATTACATGAAAGTCGTCCTTCGAATTTCTAGCTTAACGTGATTCTGCTCTTAAAATTCCAGTTAGACTTTGTATAAGGCAGATTATTTGTTCAAGGTTTTTTATTCTTCAGACGAAAAATTGGACTCGTAAACTCTTCATATTAAAATGCATTGACAATCTTCAGAATATTTGGCCTATATAGGAAAAGATCCGATGATATTTGAAGAAAGTACCGGGCAAACGATTCCTTGGAGAGTAGTTTTGAACCAAAAATGCATGAAAGCCTTTCTTCGAAATTCTTGCTTGACGTAATTCTGCTCTTCCAGATAAGACGGCGCATAAGATAGATAATTTGTTCTGGGGACTTCATTTTCTCGAGCAAAAATCGAATTCATAATCACTTCATCTGAATTTGCAAGAAAATGTTCAACATTTTTGGCCTACAAGGGAAAAGATTCGATGGTATTTGAACAAAGACAGTACCGAGCAAACGATTCCTTGGAGACCATTTTTGAACCAAAAATGTCGGTATTCAGTCTATACTAGTCTGAAACTCTTTGAAAGCATTTCTGATAACTGAACATATGTTGATCTGAGCGACTGATATTAAAAAGTAAGTTTACATTGCAAAAACAATACTGGAACAGTTTACCTTTACTGGCACGCCGTTAAAAGCTAGTTGTAGTGCTATTTTAAGGTAACTCCAAACTTATTGGTTACAGACACAACATATCTAGATTTGAAGGTGGTTGTTCGGTGCCATTATACAGTGCAAAAAGACCATCTCAGAGTTCGCGACGCCATGATGGAATTCTATTGTTCAATAGCTAGCTCTAATCCCTCAGGTGCGGCAAACCACCCTAAATTTTATTGCGGACAAAGGTTTTCTTTATTTTTTTTGGTCGTAAAACTACCTTAGAATAGAGAAAAATACTTTAAGAATTAAATCTGAATTTCGTTGATTAACAATGGACCATGTTTGAACTACAGAGAAATTTACAAATTTCGATGATATAGAACGCCATTATAAATATCGAGGTTTTTGCCCAGCTTGTTTCATAGTGTCGCGAACTACGAGATAGTCTATACCCTGAGTGTCAAACCTAATTGCACAGGGGGCCAAAATCAAAAACACACTATAGGTCGCGGGCTGAACAGGATAAACATTTATTGAACACACTGTATAAAAACGATAATATAAAATGATCTCGCGGGCTGGATATCATTACACGCCGGGCCGGATGTGGCCCGCGGGCCTTGCGTTTGACACATATGGTCTTTACTTCACATGACAACCACTTTGAAGAGTAGTGGATAAATACACTACACGTATCATCAATTAAATGATTAGCAGGAAGAGTTTTCAAAGTTTGCACATTTCATTTAATCTTGGGGACAGTCTACAGAAACCTTACATGATATGGAATCCCCTATTCATTAGCTAAAAAATTCGCATTTCCAAAATCCAATTAATTTCTACGGGACACCATTGTTTGCTCAGTTGCCATCGCGCATATTATTACCGCTAAAATATTTTCTGCAATTTGCTTACAAGCAACAGGTATAAACAATCTTCGATTGATTCCTCAAGATTTGTCCAATTCCTGAAAGTCTACATCAACTACAATAAATGCTAATGGATTAAAATTGTTCTGCTTCTGTTTGACGGTGCTAAAAAAAGAAAGCGCTCGCAAATTGGAAAGGCTTGCTTGTTGCGTGCGTATTTGCAAAGAAACAATAAAGTATATTCCTCTTTTTCTATATAAGTATTAAAATTAGAATTAAATTAAAAGCTTTAATGATTAAATTTTTCGGATAACTGCATCGGCTGTTTTATCTTCTGCAAACATGGCTACAGCCTGGTTCATAGCTTCTTATACCAAAATATCTTCCATTTTCGGTAGTTTCGGTAGATTTTGATATGCCAACGTTGTGTACATTAAAATCCCTTTTCGCAAAGCACCAATGCAAACGGCTCGCATGGATGTGAATGGGCACAGATAAAAAACATGTTCGTTCGGGTCGTCTTGAAAACCGTCATCGATTGAAGAACGCGAAGTAATAGTATGCATAATGTACCATTTAACAACACGCGATTCAGGCAACACAAAAGATAAAACGTGAATAAACATCTCCGGGTTTGGCATGAATAGAGAGAATCTAAAACACTGAAAACATTACCTTTCAAGATAGTTAAATAAGGTTTTTTAAAAGTAGAGAAAACAGCACAAAAGACGTGCATACAAAAATGATAGACTTTCGAACTAAATTAAAGCTGCTTAGTAATCAGAAATTCCAAAATGATTACTTAATATTCCAAACAGTAGGATAATTTCGCCACTATTGGCAAAACATCTCTGCAAAGAAGAACTAAATGAATTTATGATCTTCGTACAGCCTGTCTTTTTTTATTAAACATGATGTGTTATTTTTTTAGCCTAAACAGGCATAAGGTTTTACAATAGCCTAAACAGTCATATTACACAAGACAACGTCTCAGAGCCTTCTGTTGTTATGAAGAGACACCCCTTCTGTTATGCTTCACCGATCAAGTTACCATCAACAAACATATTGTTGCTGAGGGCCTATTGTAAGAACTTATGACGCCTAGACATCCTTATGTACTTTCGAAACAAGATCCAAAAACAGTCAAACTCTCGAAAAGTAGGCTCTTCTTTGCAGGGATTTACTTTATTTGCCTAAACCATGGCCAATCTTTAATCTGTTATCGATCCGTGTATTGTTGGTGTACATTCAGATGCAAAATGGTCTTAAAGATTCCTGGATCGCCTTAGAGAAGCCGGGCAGCGAAGCTTGTCATCTCTTTGCATGATTCATAAACCATACTCCATTTCTGCACCAAAAGATAACGACTAAAAAACCATGGCTAAATACTCAAGACCATTACCTAAGGCAAATGTTTCGGTTTCAGAGAGAGAAAAGTCTGACAAATTAATTTGATCCATTCGCTTTGCAAGTAGGATATCGAAAATACATTTGGGGTTTTCTTCTTTTCATAAGTTTTGAAAATATACAGGTTCTGTGTATCAAACAAATACAACTAAAGCAAAAGTTTTCATTAAAAGTACTCGTGTAAAAAGCAAGGGAGGAAACTTATCGTCCTTTCCTTCTTGGTGACCTGGAACGAGACCGAGATCGGGAGCGAGATCGATGACGACGACGATGACTGCGAGGCGAACGAGATCGAGAACGAGAACGATGTCGGTGACGTCTTGGGCTGGGACTGAAACGATAATAAAGAAACTGATTGTCAGAAAGCGCGCCAACATATTTTAATACAAATACATTGTAAATCGAATTCGTCCAAGACGACTGTTCTTTCTCTAGCTCCAAGCTGAAGGGGCATTTTTACATTTTTTTTCAACGTATTAGAAATCCGATTGATAAATATCTACTTAAATATGTCGCAGGGTATATATGGGGTGTTCGGAAAACACAGTATTCTTTACGGTTAAAACTGCGAACAAGGCCTTTGTGTCTGATTAACAAGGAAATAAAATATCTAGAGAAAACTATTCAAAATATATTAAAAACCCTAAATTTACTAGCCGGGATCAAGAGATTGGTGTTGTGGTTAAGCTGATCATTGAGGTCAACTGTGAAATAGTTGATTCAGCTGACTGCTGTATGAGAGAAAAGGATTCTAAAAATACGGCTTCAAACACGAAAAAGATTAAAGATCTTTGCGTCCATTCTCTTTTTTGCCGTCTGATGAGGGGATAAATGAAATGAATGATAAAAGAGAAAACGAAATGGGAAATCCAGAAGGCAGAATAAACAAAAAAGTGAAAGTAGCATGGCAAGTCTGTGAAGACATCCATCAATCAATGTTTCTCCAATCGACTTCTATTCAGAGCCTTGATATTTTATAAACATTCATGTGTTTATTGAATCCATATATCTTACGAAAATTTCTACCTAAACTTTGAGCGGAGTTTTGTTTATTTTGGGGAAACCAATGTAATAAAAGCTCCTTGAATTGTTTCTTGATTAGCAGCCTTGTTACTCAGTAGGTTATGTGCCCGTCTGTTAGGTACAGCATCCTATTTTCAATTGCTCAACTTTCCACTAAAGGACCACAAGCACGCACGTTTCAGCCAGCTCAGGCTTGAGGAATGAAGTAAAATTCGAAGGAAAAAGAAAAATGTTTAATAGCTTAACTTTTGACCGATTTGCACCAAAAGAGTCAATTGTGTCATTCTCCAATCATTAAAGTAACAAAAAGTAGAAGCTGTTACAAAGAAATATTTTTTCAATATTGACCGTTTTACAGTTTTTTTGGAATTCCTTGTTGAAAAATATCATTACAAAAACAAATCAAAATAAAGAATGTTGAAATGACAAAACTGAAACAGTATTCTGAATTCCATGCAACATATTGTTTAATTTTTCGGGGCACGACGGCGAACGCATGTCCTAAGTTCTAGCGGTCTACTTTCAACTCAAGAGACAATAACGATGAAATTGATGGCGCAGCGGTTGTAGAGACCAGTGAGAGTGCATCTGACAAAAATGTTTTACATTGAATTTTATCTGTTGCATATATTTCAGAATTTAGTTTTTGCAAAAGTACAGCAATTTTTATTAACAAAACAGGTTTCTGCTTGCTTTACTGTGTAATGTATCAGCGAGTGGCAAAAAAAGTTTGCATCAGCTCTGTAAAGTTACATCCCTTCTAGGTTCTTTTAGCCATAAAATGGACTTCCACCGGTTCAATGGGCGATTTCAAGGGTATGAAACTTCCAAAGTGAGAAGGCTGGGAAGGCAATGGTACCAGGACCGCTAGACGGATTCCAAACGCATGCCTTAGGCCGCGTTGAAAATGAAAAGGAAAGAATGTACACCAAAATGCACAGAGGGAAAAATAGAAACAGCAAGACTAACTTGATAGTAGATACATGTATGCTTATGTTGTGGCCCACTTTACAAGGCTTAAACACAAACGACTAAATTTCGTGAAGTTACGTTCCATATATTTTACCCTTACGGTTGGTCGAAATGATTGGTGAATGCTTAAAGTGTTAGATGCATCGTAAAAATTAAAGGTCAAAATCCTTGGGATAATAGTTTCATGATAAAGTGACATTTTTGAATGGCGTTTAATACGACATACCTTCTGCGTCTTCGATGTGGAGAATAGGATCGGGAACGGGATCTTCTCCTATGGGAACAAAGAATGTAAATAACGATCAAAGTATAGAGTTCCCAAGTAATGATCCATTTTAGATATTCTAAAATTGGACTTCACAGCCTGAAAGAGCATCGTGACATGACTCCTTCTCAAATGAAATTTGATATGTGTGAAAAACTTTAGGAACGAACCTAAAGTAATAGCGACCTTTTAGCAAACTTCAAATTGGCCATATCTTACCAAATTATTAAGATATCTAACAGATTTAGCATCTTTCAAGGTATTTCAAGTCATTTCAAGTTATACCCTTTCAGGTACTGTGATCAAAACTGAAAAACCCTTAAAAGGTATATTGATGACGTCACACTTAGGTGCTCCATCCAGTGGTTTGCTTCTTACAATAATCCATAATCCAATAAGATTCAGCGGAGCATTAATCATTAAAGAAATTGAAACAAAGTAAGATAAAAATTTATTTTTGAAATTGAAAAACTATAATAAAATTGTAAGATTGGAAAATGCAGATCTTTAGTGAATAGCGAAGACAACTTGGTTACGTCTTTGAAAAATGGTCTTATCGATGAAACGATAACTAAGTTTGAAATTTGAGAGAACATTTGGTGATTCTCCACGTATCATTTATTTCCTTCTCTGAAAGCCAATAATAGCAAATATTGGACGTACAGATGTTATGATAACAGAGCAAAACTCTAATGCAACAAGAAACTTCGAATTTTTATTTCATCGACTTAACAAATTGCATAAGAAGTTAATTTCTGAGGTTTGATATCTCTGTGAAAGGCGAATTATTTTCCGAGCTTTGTAAGTTTAGCCCCGATAAAACGACTTGACATTATCACTAAACGCGAACTGAACACAGTTCCAGGGTAGAGGCTCGTTTTGCACGAACAAGGTGCAGCGTCCCACCTTGTCAAGTCTTGCTCAGTCAAGTTTATTCTTCTTTGCTCATAGTTGATATTGAGGAATTTTCAGTTATTTTGCAGCTACAGTGAACGCTTTCCATTTTGCGCACGCGCATTGCAAATAAAGCAGTGGACTGGATTCGGCGTGGCTTTTTCCCAGAGTCAAATTATCAACGCAGGCGTTACTAGCAAACTGAGGAGAAACGGCATCAGCATCAACATTTAGTTCAGTTAGTAGCAGGCAGTAGCGTGGTGGCCGGTGGGGCTGGGGGGACAGGTGCACCTCAAGCGGCCACAGGAATCAGGGGCGCCAAAAGCCCGTTGGAAAGACAATTCCAAATAGCAGCTCGGATGAGGTGCATACTTCAATATGAAGACGTCTTTCCCAAATCCTTCCACTTTTTGCTCGACCAACTTCCCGAAAATATCCTTCTATTTGCTTACAATTCCTTCCAAAATTGACGAAAAAGCCTTCCCATTTCCCTATTATTAGAATTATATTGATTAATGATGACCTTCATCCGTTATTTTCGCTTTCATCTTATTCAGCGTTGCCTTGATTCTTCGAAACTCCCAAAGCGTTTAGAATTTGCGAGTGTGACGCCATAAAAATATTTAAACGTGAGGTAATTAAGAAATTTTAACTTTGTACCATCATGAGTTAATTTCAGTTTGCTACAGATTTCTGCTATTTTGGCATGGTTTATCAAATTTTGAACAGAGACGAAATTACAGTGATTTGACGGGACTGAGACTGGGGTCCTTGGTCCTGAGTCCTGTGTAGTCCGGTCCTTAATCAAAGTATCAGACATCTTGAATGCAGATTCCGTTCATCACTAGAAAATCATACCATCAAAATTTTCCATGCTGTCTGCAAAGGTGGAGGCCCTTTACTAAACCCCTAGACAATCTAGAGATTTCGTCATTATGAACAACGAAATTGATTTCTGGCGTAATGCAGCGAAAAGGCTAGCCACTAGCCTCTTGGGGGGATAAAACAAAAATGTTTAGGCCACGCCCATTTTCCGCCAGAAAACGCCCTTTTACCAACAAAGAACGCCAATTTTACTTGAAGGAAACGCCCAAGACTAACTTTTGGTTACGTAAAGGCAGTTTCAAAACCATAGAAGTACATCTCAAAAAGTAGCTTACCAAAATATTATTGCTCCCCAATATTTTTCTCATCAAATTTAGACAAAATACAATATTGATCCTGCCAAGAAGTGAGGGGACGTGTCCTCCTAGTCCCCCACCCTTGGCGCCGCAAGGGGGTTGTTCTAAACGGGGCGCCAAAATAGATTGGTTCACCGTAGCAAATTTTGAGCCACCACGCCACTGGCCGCAGATAAAGGTGTTTATCAGTAACGAGGAATTTTCTGAAGAGACCGGTTATAGCTCGGATGAGGAAAGCTATGGTAGCGGGCACGGGTACGATGATTATTATGAAACTGGTAGGCCTAACAGCTCCACGTGGCAAACCTTCAATGTCCACAAACTGAACAAAGTGAACAATCCCCACTGTATGCTCATTGCACATGTTCATCGATTTGGCAGGTCTTAGAAAGCTCTTTAAGGGTTCCAAAGTTGAGTCATCTCTCACTCCAACAGCATTCATTCACATTTATTGTGTTAACTGTCATTATTAGAATTTGGTATATCCTTCAAGGTACGCAAAATGATTTGAAAGAAATGACGTATAAGGGGAAACTGGGAGCTCATACTATGGTCGATGCCGACCTTGTGTCAACAAGTAAGCGGAGAAACATTTCTCATTTCTATTCCTAGTTAGTAAAATCTCCACATAAATTTCAGTGATCTGGTGACAGGGAGATATGTTTTATGGCACACAGGAACTGTGAGTGGGTCACCTGGTTACTTTACTGTCAATCTCGCTTTGTGCAAATAGCAACTAGCTATAATGACGGTTAATTTACCTTCGTGTTGGGGTGCGGCTTCGCCTTCTCCTTCTTTCTGGCGTACGGCTTCTGTGTCTTGGTGGGGAAGTCTATAAACATGAAAAAAGCTTTAACCATCATGATTATTTAAATTAAAACAAAAAAAGGGGCTAACAGTAACGTGGAATAGCAGTTATTTCAAGGATCCTCAAAATATCTTAACAAACAAGTACATCTTCAATAAAAAATGAGAAAGAAAAAGGAGCTTATTTTTCATTTTCAATTTAATCTGAAGTTTCGGAAAATCCTGTTGAAGCATTACTGAGATAAAGGTCAATGTTCCCCTTTTATGATTCGCCGCCGTTCCAAAAGCAGATTTGGGTGCTCTGTGCTCTCTCAGGTATCAAATTTCAAATGTACAGTAGGGTAAGCCTTCGTTGATTTTCGAATATCATTTTCAAATTGGTTTTTTCATGGGTTTAATTATTGAATAGAAACGTCGATAGGAAATCAAAACAAAAGGATTAATCAGAAAATAGAGGTTTGCACTCTGCAGATTAATGGACAAGAATCTTCTTACATCAACTGCCTTATGATAGTGGCTGTGGCTATATTTACCTCGTTGTTCTTGGGAACAGTGAAACTGTTGCCTCAATTCTTTTTTATACAACGTAGGCCATTGCTAATACGCCTACGTTATGTAACAAGAAGGCTGCTAACATCGAATGACTGCATTCTATGCAAACACCATGTGTCTTTAGAAAGGCACGATGTAATAGTGAAGAGATTATGAAGATCAGTGGAGAGGGAAATGGTGAGAAGTAGACGAGCTTTGTAGCCGGAGTCAGTTCGAGTTACATAAGACAGAAATAGGATATAACAAAGAGGCGTGCCCGGAACTTCGCGGGGTCAGGGCCAGCCAGGCTCGAGAACAGGGAATAATTACTTAGATATGCAATTTTTCCAACAAAATCAGTACCGTGTGGTCATCTACATAATCAAAACTATTCGAAGCAGAATTAGGGTGCATGAGTTTGAAAAGTTTTCAAAGTTTGGGGGATGTGATACCCCCACACCCTTTGGCATTTACGTACTTGAACTTCCGCACCCTTAAGCCAAGTCAAAAGGTAGGGGCATACTGATAGCGTTTGTTCTTTTAAAAAGCATTGCGCAGAAATAAGAGAAATGGCAGTTACAAGAGAAATGGCTAGTGATGGGCAGTTACAAGGTCCTATATATGAACATAGCTGTTTTTATGAGAATAAAACCAATCATCATCAAAAAGTCCACAGGCCTTTCAGTATCCAATCTTTTTACTCTGAGCATGAACGTAAACCTTGGACATTACACAATAGCAAATTCAGGTCAGATGAACACATCATGTATAATCCAAACAGGCTCATCTTTGTCAAGATCAAAACTTAAACCACACTGACTCTCTCATCCTCATTGCAAATAGAAATTGGCGGCACAATAGATATGGGACTTGCACTTGGTAACTAAGTATCGTTTATACTATCTATCGTCTTTAAATATCATGTTACTCTACATGGCCTCCTATTTCAACAAAACTCTAGGACGAGCAAATATTACGCTACGTAGAAAGGGATTAAATTTTCGCCAAAAACCACAGTCCGCCTTTATATTGCATTAAAAGAGAGAAATATATTTTGGGGATGCGAAATCGTCTTATCATAAGAATTGATGTAAAATGATTGATCATCAATGATTATAACAAATGAACGATGATTATCTTCAATTGCAGCACATCCTCAACTCAACAGCATCCCAAACATAGCTTTCTTTTCATTTATAAAAAAACTTACATCCCCTAACATCTACAGAACAGTTTTTTTTCTTCCATAAGCATCTGATTTATCTGTTTCCTAGGGATCTTGTATTCTCGTCCATAACCAAAATGAGAGAGCACGTTAGATGTACCATCACACCTGTTCCACTTTCCTGACCCAGTGAGTCAATAATACAACATGAGTATCAAATAATAACAGGCATAATGGAAATGACCATCCGGTTAGAATGAACAAAGTTAAAATAAACAAAGCACTTTAAACGGGTATTTAAAAGCAGGTATGGCAATAAATGAGCTGCATGGTTATAAATTTTGCAATGAGACCAAATCACAAAAGGAGCGTATTGCTCGGGCCACCTTCCAAAACAGGGAAACTGGGTGAATTTTACGAAGTGCACTGCGTCTATCAAAAAGAAAGAATGTCAAAAATGACTGCAGAACAAAGAATCGAAGCAAGCGGCTCCCTAGGATACACCAAGCGTTGCCCTTCTCAATATCGATAACAACTTTTGAAATTTGATCATAGCTAGATTTTGAAACAGACATTATCGTCTTCATACTCTTTTGTCCAACTCCAATTCTTCAGTCAACAATAAGGAGCTACACGCCAATATTAGTTGCGTATGTGGTACAGAGGGATTTGATAAAAAGAATGGAAGATTTGTACCATCACAACTTTGCATAACTAGCAGTATAATATACTGATGAATGCCACTGGTGAAAACTTCACAAAGAAGTTTGAGGAAAGAGCACTCACACTGAACGACAGGGCAGGTTGAAGGTGCAAAGTGATCCGATTGCGATTGGGACATTGAAAGCTTGATCTTGTGTATTATAAGTCTTTTCTCGAAGATTCAGGCAAGTGGAGTTAGGCAAGGGAAAATGGGGTAAGTAGACAGAACTAGGGGTCGCATAATTTAGAATGGAGGGAAAAGCCATTTTAAGAATTGGTTACTTTATTTCATTTTGCAAATCGAGATACTGACGACGCTACTTCCTGTCAAGACTTATGACAGCACGTTCGGTGCTTACGAACAAACTTATACACTTATACAAATGCTACTGTCGTAGACTTTGCTACAAGAGCCAGCCTCAATGCTACATTATTCCGTATTCCTTTCATTGATCAAATTAAAAGCATCCTTGCAGTTTATATGCACAGTAGACTCCGGCTATAGTCACACCAAATGTTCCTTGAAAATTTGTGACTGTAAACGTAGTGAGACTGTAAACGGACTTACATTAAAGATTTGGGTCTAAATTTTATGTGACTGCAACCAGAAATGCGACTTTGAACGGAGTCGACTGTACTTAAGAAAAACTGCGGACAAATACGATGAGAGATTTCATGAACTTAGCTCATCACAAGCTACTGCAACCCTCGAAAAAAATAATTAAATTTCCAAAAACCAAATACCACTTAAGCCAGCTTGAGAGAGCTACGAATGAAAACAGGCTAAGTTGTTTAACTGTTTTAATTAAGCAGCTGGCAAAATTCAGATCAATAACATCTCATGACAATTACAATTACAAAGAGCATAAATCAAATCACTTTAACAAATTATGCAGACAACACAAAACCTTGTCACACTTTCTTCCTCACTTTGATTGGATCTGCAACTTTTAACGTTTCATTCAAAAAACTTGATTCGAACGAGTTTGCGTAAAGAGAACTGGGAAATGGCATCGCCTGGGATGGAAAACGACTCAATCTTTCTTCAAGTTTGAATATCCTCCAACATTACCTCCGACATGAAATTCAACCTTCCGCAAGCATAGACAACTTTCTTTGAATAACTTTATCTTAGCTTAGCAGAAATTCATTCATAAACAGTGCAATTTTATTATTATTCTTCGGCATTATTAGCACTGTAATTAAATTCTCTGAAGTTGTTTGCTATAAATCAATGCAGTAACTGATTAAGAAACAAAACAAATACGGCAGTTTCATAACTTAAACATACAAATTTAAAGATTAAGATTGTGAATAATAATTGTGCATGATCTGTCGGTGCACGAAACATAATTCCGCAACTTTGCGTTTCTTTTGAGCTTTTTACCGTCACTGGACGGCGAATTTGCCAAGTGGTTCCGCCAACTGTCCACTTAGTAGCAAATGGATAACCAGTGGCAGCATCAGAGGGTTTCAGGTAGCGTTGAAAGGAAATGGCCACCCTACTTCATCATGTTCTTGGCCCCGGACAAGTGCCCGATGCGATGAATAACTCAATCTGAGCTTTTGATTGCATGAACGATACCATAACTTCGAAATTCAGTTATGTGAAGACCAGAAAACACAGAAACATGGGCTTCGCATGACGTAAAGAGCGGTACATATAGACTTCCGGTAAGAAATGAGTGAAAATAAGAGATGCTGGAAGTTAGGTAATGACTCTGGTTAAGTAACAGGTCTTGATTTTGGAGGATCAGCGTGCTGCAAACTACCGAAGTTATCCTGGATTACTTCAGCCAGCAGCTCAATAACTTTACCGGCAGTGATGGTGATTCTAGACAGGGTGCACTAGCTGCTAAGTACCTTTTTAGCAAGCAATAAACTTTACCGATGATTAGCTTTTGGCTCAGCCAGCACCATGACATGTTCTACAATTAGTTAGGCGGATATCCTTTCGGTGCATGCCATGCCCGCCGTTTTTACGTAAAACGCGCAAACAAATATGAAGGTAGTTCAATTTTTTAGATTTTTTCAGAGCCTATTTATAACGCAACTGCAAGCTGTTACAGGCTAAAACCAGAGACAAAGGGGCCCGAAAGGCTGCAACCCCTCCCCTCGCTGATCAGGCAAAATTCAAGCTCAAATTGGGCAGCATTGAAGCATTCTTTCTCGATGAAGCAATAAAATACAAGCAAGGTGCAAACTAAGCCCCTCCCCCAAAAAAATAATTAGCATTCGCTAAGCCCATGGATTTCACAATGTTTATCCGACTTGAATAGCCAAAGGTCATTTGATAAATATCCTTACATGGATATTTTAGTTGCGTTATGAAAAAGCAGTTTTGATCAATTTATGTTGATAATTACCCCGGGTACCAGAACTTTAAAAATCCTGGGATAAAGTATTGTAGACAGCTGCGCCGGCAAAGAATGAATGGATGCGGATTAGGGGGATTGCTCCAAAAAGATTTCTGTGATTAAATAATGGAGACTCTGGTACCCAGGGTAGCTAATAATTTGTTTCAAGGAGGTGTTTGTTGAAGATAGATCCGAGTCAATGGGTTTTTTTAACATACCAAGGTTTTGCGTTAGTTAAACCTTTTTTTAAGTACCACGATGACGAATTAGCCTTTCCCCTTATTCACGGCACGCGCGTTGCATCCTTCTTCCGAATGCTTCATTATCCCCTGGCCTTTAAGAGAGTTTTATAAAAACCAGGCACAGGTTCTGTTCTTCGCTTTGTCAAGGACAGGCTTGAGACACCTGTTCCCAGGATGCAACGCGCGTGCCGTGAATGTGGGGAAAGGCGAATTAGGCCATCTTTGCTACTGACACGTAACAGAACCGGCGCTTTTCTTTCGTATAATTTTAGCCTGCTTAAAGACACCTTTGTCTAAAACTGAATCGATTGTCGGAATCGCTCTAGGCTTCCATAAACCAAGGCCCATCTACAACAATAGGGCGTCCGTTGAGATTTGCCTAAAATATTTTATAAAATATTTCTATTCGCAATGTGAAACAGAGAAGCCTAACTATACATATAGGTAAATGTTCCCTTGCCGCTTTTTTGCCTCGCTTCGCGCTTAAACGCAGAAACAAGAGTATCCACTTGAAAAATCGATGCAGAATTTAGACAAACAAAGCACCTGAAACCGAAAACAATTGATTTCAGTGAATTATAAATGCCCGATTCATAGTTACTTCAGGCAACGGTCAGCGTCGAAAGTAAGTTTGATATAGGAGTAATTACGGACATAGATTTGACGTAAAGCTGTCGAGATTAGAGGCAGATAATTTTGGACAGCTGGAAAAATTCAGTGTTTTGGAAAGTATTGTCCACAAACAGACGGACAAATAAAGAAGGTTATATCAATTGATATCGGTCATATCACTAAAAGCGGCGAGGAATGCGGACTATCTTGAACAAAGCTGCGAAGAAAATTAAGATTGCACAAAGATGAACATTACAGATTTGGTTTGCAAAGGTGCTGCTGCCGGTAGGGTGTAACCAAAGTGTGAGATCTTGATGCTTTGGGAAAATTCACAGTAGAGAGAAATAGCTACTTTGTCCGAAATACACAAGGGTTTGTATGTTTGTATCTTGCTTCTGTATCAAGCAAATGTAAGCTCTTTCAAGCTATTTTCAGTCATCAGAAATTGAATATTTGAGTACACTGACTTAATCGATAGAAGATAGAATTTGCCGGGGAAAAGTATACCGCGATTCCTAGTTCCGTGATGATGATAAAAGCAGAAAACGGTTGAATGTATGAATGATTGATATTTGCAGTACTGCTGATGTCTTGTATTCTCAAACACTGAATAAATTTCTGAATAACAAGCATTTTCGTATGCATGAATAGGTAAATGCACTGGGTTCTTTGTTATGCTGTTATTTCTGTTGCTGTGTAAAGCAATAGCGAAACATGCCGCAAAGCTTGACACAATTCATCAAGAGGAGATTGAGCACGTGATCGAAACAGATTGAGAAAAGCAGTACGAATCACAGTTGCATGAATATTTATTAGAGTAGACGGATGTAACGAGGTTGCTGGCAAAGCAAGAGAGGTGATTTGGGGAATACCTGAGACATCTGTAGTCCAGTGGGTTTTCTTTGATTGGGGTTTCCTACTACATGGTTAGTTGGCGAATCACACGATTCCTGTTGTAAGTAAGCTATTGATGAAAATAAAAGTTCAAAAATTCGAATGCAATTTGTAATTAAGAGGGAGCCTCATTGTGTTCTATTTGAATCTGTCCCGTCAAATACCATCAATATTCTTTGATGCTTGAGAACAATCCGTTCCCTTATTTAATTAAGATTTCAATACCAACGTTAACAGCCCACCCAAAACATTCGACAGCATGAAATACTTGATTGATGCTTTAATCAAACAAATACATAAATTTATATGGGCAGAATCGCTGCATTTCTTCAATCTGACATGGAGATCTCATCATCCTATGTCGAGGTTTGTATTTTGAAGTTAGATTAAAATCCAGTAATGACTGGTGAGCAAAACGAGCCGACCTCGTGGCAAATGTAATCAGCCATTAATCTATCAATCTATCACGACAGGGATCTGCAACGGTTAAATCCCGTCATGGCGGTAACAGGCCACGTCGAAAACCAGTCGCGGCGGAAACATATCGATTCTAAGCCTACCTTCCTCGTCATACCATAAGCCATCTTCGCTAAAACAATAACTTCCTTCGTTAAAGGATAAAATACACTTAACTTAAATAATAACCTTCAACGCTAAAGCAGTAGCCATTCTGGTTAAACGAAAGCTATGGCTTTGAGGCAAGTTCCTGTGAGGTAGTTATATCGCAGCTATGGGGGGAGGGAGATTCTTCATGTTCCCCCCCCCTCCATTTCAATGTTGACTTATCTGCTACTGAATACACCATGTACACCAACATTAACTTGGAGGTAGGAAGCTGGTTGTTTTACTTTTCATGCATGCTGCCTGATACGTCTTTAGAGTTGGTGTCAACAGCTGTCTCCACGATATTTCTGAAGGAAGGCGCAAAATGCTTCCGAGAAAAGATTCACTGAGACCATTTTCCGTAATAATTCGACAAAACCCTTTTTCTGCCAGCACAGGTTCTGCCTTTTACAGACACTTGGTTTAACATAAAAAAACCGACGGAACGGTTTGACAAATCAATTAAAAGCCCCAGCCAAAAATCTTCGAAAAGATACAATGTTTCCATAGAAACATTTCTTTCATTCATTGAAAATGATACAATTCAGACACCTGCGGTTGCTCTGGAAATTATAGCGGGGAAAGAGCAAACCGGAATTAACTGTTGTCATTACTGTATGTAGCATGTAATGTCGTATGTATGAGTTACTCATGGATCAGCTCTCGGTCCAGTTCTATTTCGTTGGGCTAGCAGATTTATTATCTCTTAATGGTGTCTAGCATTGTGGTGCACGTATTAATACAGGCTGACGATCCTAAATAAACAACTGCAGTTTATTGTTGTATGCCAACAAGAGGGATACAATGAGGATACCACTTTTTGGGGTCTGTAGCTAGAACAGAAATCTGTAAAAAGGTTGTTAATGACCCTTTACGCAAATAATTCACCCAAGTCAGTAGACTATTTATTTCTCCAACACCATAATTGCTATCTTCTTCTGTCACGCTACGACAAGTCTTGAAGTTGTTCTATTATTGTCTTTTTGTAGTGTCAATGCAGTTAACGGCATCTCCGCCAATTAGAGACAGTTTGTGAACAAAGAAGGTGAAAAGGAACAAGATTACACTGATGCCTAAACTCTGGGCTAATGAATACTACAACAAATAGTTCAGCTGTTGCTATCAGCCTTGGAATCGCTGATAGATATGTGAACGGAGCCTTTTACGTCTTATTTGGTCTTCTAGGCATAACTGGAAATATAGGCGTGCTAGTGGCTATCTCGACATCACGTGTGCACCGTCGAAGAATGTCAGGCCTATTCTTATTAAACCTTGCCATTGCTGACTTCTTAGTTTGCTCGATTGCGACTCCGTACAGCATCATTGGGGTGATACTAACCCCCGATCTACCGAGCGACCATGATCCTCTAAAATCTGAATATAATTCAGTATGTAAATTAGCAATGTTCTTCACATATTTCACTGGCTTCCTGAGGATACTGTCCCTTGCAGCGATGTCAGTTGATAGATACCTTGCGATCAATCACCCATACTTTTACTCTCGATATTGCAATGAGGACGTCTCTAAAACACGACGTTTCTTGGCCGTTGCTTCCCTGTGGTTAGTGGGATTTGTATCGATGATACCAGCACTGATCAGCGATAAAATGATTGTCTTCTTTGGATATAACGGACGACTATGTGGTGTTCTGTGGTCCGAAAGCACGTTTAGCTACGTAGCCATCACCATGTTTATAAACGTTATCTTACCAGCGATCGTTATCATCTTCACAAACTGCAAAGTGTTCTGGCTCGCCCGCAAACAGGTAGTCAGAGAGAGAATAAAAAAACATGGGCCTAGACGCTCTTTCAGCCTGGCTATTCGCTTGCGTAAAGACAGCAAGAAAGTCAAAGCTTCGGCCAGTGAGGAAAAGAATTTCGGGAACAATGTGACAGAAATGGATGAAATTCACCTAGGCGCTGATGACAAAAGGTTGACCGTCGTAAAAGCAGGTAGCTGTCGAAGGTTTACCGACAGTACAAGCACAATGAAGAAGCTAGACTCTGCGCTGAAATCTAACCAAGCATTGAAAGCAGATGCCGAGCAAACTAGAAATGAAGGGAACATCTCGACTGAAAGGAGGACAACCAATTTCATAAGTCTGAGACAAAGCTCTTGTCAAATTTCACCTTATGAAAACCGAAGTACTTCGATTGCAGTAGACGGCAATGCAGAAGTCAAAAGCCGGAAAAAGGATAAAAAAGACGAAAAAAGAAGGTCATCATCTGACTGGGAAATCGCTCTGTCAACCCTCTCTTTGGTTTTGTTCTATTTCATAAGCTATCTACCATTTGCAGTGACAAGATTCCTCACTGCATCGTCAAAAAGCACCATATCGCTGCAAATGGTGGCATACACAATGCTTTTTACCAATCTAGACAGTGCCATTAATCCACTCATAATCTTCAAGACAAGACGAGAATTTCGCAGAATTTTGAAAAGGAAACTTTGTAGCAGAAATTCGGTGGACAATGACGTCTCGGAATGGGTGTCGAAAAATAACCAAAGTTGAAACTAACATGAAAGCATGACTGCAAGAAGTAAAGATTGCTCAGTAATTAGCATGTAAAGTTATATGATGATAGTGCATCAAATCAGCTTTTGTCGATTAGCGTATTGTTATCTGGTTAAGAAACTTTAGAAAGTATTAATGAGCCAAAGGATAGCCGAGTCAAACTTTGAACAGAGAACAGAGTCTAACTTTGAATTTTGCATGGAAGCAGAATGCATGACAATAAGCATGCCGCCCTAGACTAGACATCATATGTTTAAGAATGTTACAGATCAGATCCTTCTAAAGGATGTAAAGTTCATTAAATTTTTATCTGTCTGAAAAGTAGAAAAGTAAGTGTATTCAAAATAATGGGCAGTACTGGTGCCGACATTCAATGACTTACTTTGAAACAGAGCCGTCAGATAAAATTGCGAGTCCAAATATTTATCTACGAAATTATGTAATTTTTCTTTTAACACGTAAATAATTCAAGACTTTAAAAGCAAATCGATGTTTTTGTTGAGTTTCTAATTTATGGCGTTAAAGAGAAGGCATCAACTAGTTATGAACATTAATAATCCATTTACTCTTTTTGTTTATGTATGAAGGTAATTGCACAATTCGTAATAGAAACAGCTAGGCGAGAAAGGAATAACCGGGAGAGCAATAATTCGTAACAAAGTAATTAAACAGAAAGGGAGGGGAGCTGGTGCAAAAAACACAAATTTTGTGCTATTACAGGTCAAAACATGAAAATTTGCACAAAGAAAGTTTATGTAACAAAGACATGATTAGGCCTTGGACCCACCCAAACCCAAAAATCACGTGTTTGTATTTTACAGACCAGAATCAGTTTTTCAAACCAGGGGTAAAAAACCATGATAGAAAACCAAGACAAAAATTTGAATTGTAGTTTACGCATGTAAATCCGGCAACTATGCGTCCGGCGACTATGTGTCCGTCTTAGAACCTTTGATCATCAGGATCTGAACTATAACTCACAGTAGTAACGCTGCTTTGACAAAACCTGGAAACGAAACTGGGGGCGCTATTTAATAAAACCAAAATCTTCGATTTGCCTCAAATCAAATAAAAAATGATATATCTGGAATCTTAGTCTAGAGTATTTCACTTCCTCATTTAAAGGCGTTTAGTTGTATGCAATACAATTAAATCTTAGTCAAAGTATAAAGTTTAAACTAGATTTTAGGTATAAATGTTGTAGGGTTTGTTCCTTGTACACTGCAGTACACCTTTAAGTTAACAAGTATACACAAGTATAAAGAAAAAGAAACAAAAATAAGTTAATATGTACATCGAAGATTCAAGTAATGCAAAATTTATGGTAATTTAGTCACCCACCGGAAGAAGGAGTTTGAACACTCAAACGGCAAAACTTTTTTTACTCAGGAATTATGAATAGATTAGCACCATTTTCTGTTTTACAACAAGCAATATGTAAATAAACAAGGAGGGCTGGAGTTGATTGAACACTGAGTATCACGAGGCCACTGTTAACAGACTGAAATCAGCGTGGGTACAATGGCCATTGCCAATGAAAGCGTTTGCACCGACCGTTAACTAAGTGTTTTATTAATCTTGAAGAAACATGTATTGTTCTGCCTTTCTAGTCTCAAAAGACGGTATGTTCACGTATTTAGATTTGAGCTTATAAATAGTTATAAATGTAAGAAACAAATTTTTAGAACAATAGTACAATTGTTGTAATATCGATGATTATGGTGTAATGTGAAGAGACAACATCGTGAAAACTAACAATAAATTTATTTTATTGTGTATAATATTCTTGTTAGCTATGTGCATTCATGGTAGATTTTAAAGACACCAGCCCAACAGGTACTTTGCGAAATGTACTATGTCGTCTGAACTCTGAATAAAGATTATGGCATAAATGATATGAGTAGACTCTAAAAGACTCGCTGACGAAATTTCTTTTAGAGTTGTGACTAACTGTCGAGAAATACAATAACAGGAAAAATTCACAAGAAGATCCACTAAAATTTTTATGATATGAAGAGTTCTGACATCATTAGGTATTGGTAAAAGACATAAAATATAATGAAGATCAGATAAGCTGTAGATTCAGAAAATTGTAGGAAACTGGTATGGAAAGGAGGATATTTTCCTCTATTTCAAAGCACGACGAAATCACAGTGAGATTCAGTTCCTCTTTGGAGATCACAAAACCCCAATGACGCAAAGGATACCTTTAATTGTAAACAAAACACAAGGACAAGCGAGATAAGAAACCATGGTTTCTTGTAACAACGGCTAATGATAAGATAACTAACCAGCGTACGCAGTTGTGTAACTCAAACAAAAGCAGGACATGTTTTAATTAAGGATTATTTTAGATATTATTGATAACCAAAGGCAGCACCACAACAAAAGATCAACATCAGGCATCAATGACATGCAACTTCAGTACCTCCATATCTAGCGACATCATGCCAAATTTGCTAGGTATCAGATTTATATGCAATGAACATATCTAATCTATGCTTATTCTTTATGACTGATGGAGACAGGCATAAACCAGTTGAGGCATAATAAAAATAGGACAGAACGCTGGCTGATGACTGATAATCAATATAGCAACCAGCATATCAATACATCAAACAAATAAATACTTTGCATGCCGTATTCATCATATCTATTGACAAGTATTTCAGCAAAACGCAAAACATCTGCCTACAGCTATAAAAAACAGTTTACAGACAACTATACCAATAGACCATTGACGTCAGATCGTCCGGGAAATCGACAAGGGAGTTCTTTATTAGATATGCTGATAGCAGCCTCTTTCGCATTAATAAACAGCGGTTTGCTGGCAAAGCAAGAGCAAGCATGTATGCCGTAATTTGGTCCAAGGGTTTCTCAATTTTGCTTAACTTCTCGAATGATTATAGTTAAAGGCACGAAATTACTATCAAAAAGTGATTGACAAACCCTAATGCAAATCTTTAAAAACGAGGCAAATATTGCGTGGTGGAAAAGCTTTCTATTATTGCAAAAATTGGAAATTTCACACGGAATTCCAGCATTCATTTTCGTACCAACGTGTCTCATTTGTGTCACTAAGCAGCGTTCGTACATCAATTTCATTTATGTCAAATATCTTCTCTCAGTAACTTTACTAACAGCCATCCCCAAAATACAGAAGCAACTAAATTCTGATAAGAATGATTTTTTTTCGCAAACCATTGAAATTCAAGAGTGAAGGTGATTGAGTGATAGTGACACAGTGATAGTGACAGTGATAGAGTGATAGTGGCAAAGTGATATTGAAAGAGTAAAAGTGATAGAATGATTGTGACACAGTGAGGGCGAGAGAGTGATAGTGACAGAGTGATAGTGTTAAAGTGAAAGTGATAGAGAAAAAGTGATAAAGTGATAGTGATAAAGCGAAAGTCATAGAGTGATAGTGATAGAATGAAAGTGATAGGTTGATAGTGATAGAGTGATTGTGAGAAATTTAAAGTCATAGAGTAAGGCTGATAGAGTGATAGTGATAGAGTTTAGATCCCAGAGTGATAGCAGCTAATCAAACTGGCTCTAACTGTTATAAAATGCTGATATCGCTATACCACTAAAAACATATAGCTAATCTTTGATCCAAAGCAGAAAATGATGAGCAGCAAATGATATTATGAGGCATATCAAGCGAGGATTGTAAGACTAAAGCAGTGTTCGACACTCTTACCAAGAGAGGATTGGATTGGTGTTTTGAAACAACAAAAGCAAATCTTTGCTTTCAAGGCCATACTGGGAGGTATATGACACAAACTGCATACAAAAAACAAAGCAAAAGTTCTCTAACCTTTATATCTACGTCCTCGTCTGACTCCAAATCTTCAAGATCGTCATCCAATGCACTTTTCTGCAATAAACACAATTTAGCATTAAGTGAAGATAATGAAAAAAAACACTAGAATTATAACGACGATTGCAGATAGGAAAAGTATGGCAATTCTAGTCTTGCCGTACTCAAGCTTCATGACACAATACTGTCGGCCTAGCAATTTGCAATAAGACAAATAAGATAGCTGGCAGCAGTATAATTACAAAACAAACTGCCGATATAGGACATTTAGAGCTTGGAAATTAAGTATACTTGATATTAAGGATACTTACAATATCACGAGGAAAACATTTTATCAACAGTACAGAATAATCATAGAAGTATTCAAAATCATCATCTTTCATAAAAAGTGAATTATCATCTTTCATAATTTCTCAAATCTCTTTTACTTTTTTCGCATAGACAATCTTTGCCAAAGACAAAAAAGATGCAATAAAGAACCAAGTTACGATATTTTATTGGAAATGTTCTCTAGACCCATATAAATAAGAAGCCCTTGCGTAAAAATGTGTGCTTACTATTGGTAGAGTTATAGTACACAATACTTTCACCATCTCAGAAAAAATTTTATCCTGTTTTCCAGGTTCCCAGAAAGGAAAATACTTTTTGTAGCTCTGACTACATTTATGTGACTTAAATAGTATTCTAGGGCAGGTGACGAAAAAGGCATTTGACACAGGTAAAAGTGTTGACCCCTAGCAGTTGACCAATCAAATTGCGCACAGAGAAAAACATGAGAACAGTTTCTGCTTCTCTGCAAATCGGCGAAACCCTAGAGTGGTTTCACGTGAGTAGATTCGAATTTCTTTCAAACGTGCTTGCTCTGATCGAGTTATTTATGGATTTGCTCTACTTATGCATGTCAAATGCCTTTAGCCAACTCAACCCATATCTCAACAAAGCTACTGGCTGCCATGTTTAAGTCAGTGCGGAGCAAGTCATTGAATACATGAGACGACGAAAACAAAGAAATAATTCAAAAACTGTTTTAAAGTACCCTCTGTTCTAATTGTTCTGTTTCTTCAAGTACGTCTCTTTTCTAAAAAAGAAAAAAGGTTTTAAAGACTCCTACACAGTTACGACTATTTGCGCAGAGCGCCTTGATATGTCATGTGACAGATGATGTAAAACGGATAATAAGAGGAAAGAATTCCTATGATTCAGTGGACAAACTATTAAGCTATTAAGCCCTGGCAAAACGACTAAACATTTCATTCAACTTTTCTTTAATGAGGTTGAGCGAAGTTTAGCGAGGCTGGCAAAACGTGACTAAACTCTTCACTAAACTTTTCACTAAACTTTCACTAAACTTTTCATTAAACTTTTAACTAAACTTATCACTAAACTTTTCACTAAACTTCACTCAACTTTTATTAATTGCGAGCGGTCTATGACGCTGTAGGGTTGTAGGGGATCTTGCATAGGAATTTGCTTTTGGTTTATTTTGTTGCATGCACAAGCAATGGATAAACATAAGAACTGGATGAAAGGACGGGGAAACAAAAGACTTTTTAGCACATTGACAACAAAGTTGACTGTTGAAAAAGAGACAGTGGCGTACAACGAGATATGTAGATGTCGCATAAAGGCTTTTTGGGTCACGTAGAGACAGAAAAACGACTTGACATTTGCTAAACAACACTAAACAACGTTAAACATTTTTGACATGTAGATGTCTCATATAGTCTTTTTGGGTCACGTAGAGACAGAAAAACCAACGAAAACAGACGAAAACCTTTGGGTTTCCACAGCTAGTGCGTCTGCGCGATCACAACAAATGTTTAATTGGTGGCAAAACAACTAAACATTTGCTAAACAACACTAAACAACGTTAAACATTTTTGACATGTAGATGTCTCATAAAGGCTTTTTATGGTCACGTAGAGACAGAAAAACCAACGAAAACAGACGAAAACCTTTGGGTTTCGTTGAACATGTAGATGTCTCATAAAGTCTTTTTGGGTCACGTAGAGACAGAAAAACCAACGAAAACAGACGAAAACCTTTGGGTTTCCACAGCTAGTGCGCCTGCGCGATCACAACAAATGTTCAATTGGTGGCAAAACGACTAAACATTTGCTAAACAACACTTAACAACGTTAAACATTTTTGACCAGGATCAAACTTTGCTCAACAACACTCAATACGACTAAACAACACTAAACAGGGTGGCCAAACGAAAAATCATTTCACCAAACTTTTGACTAAACAATTAACCCTTACTCAATCTATCAAGATATTTGACAAAAGATATCTTTTTCTGTAAGATACTGTACAAAATTAAAGTACTTTAGACCTTGTACCTGTATTCTGGGAAGAATTATATCACAAACTCTTTCTTCATGAAGAAGCTCATCAATAAATTCGTCCATGTGTAGGACACTCACAACTGCAACGCAATAAAAGATATCAGAGTTCAAATCGCAAACACAAAATATCAACTGTAGCTTATAAATAAATGCAATGAAAATTAGAATGATAACTGTTTGACACTTTCAATCATTTTGTTTACTTCTATAGCACGTTTAATCCGTTATCCATTCAATTATTTGATGATTTTAAAACAGATAATCATGCCAGGGATTACTAAAATGAGGAATACTTCTGGTAGTTACCTTTCCGCCGGTTTCTGAACGTATTCTGCCAATCAAAGCAATGTTGGAGTTGTGTTTTTATTTACGAATTAATTTTATGTACATTACCCCTTTTCTATGACCTGAATTATAAGCGTACGAGTGAGAGGCTGGGGTGCTACGGTCTCCTAATTTTTATTCATCTTCTCTGCTCCATACTACATATTTTCGGACATGTTTTGTGCAATTGCATATGGATGGGCAAAAGATATCCAGATGAACTACAAAGGTAAACTACAAAGGAGAAGAGTACTGAGGGTTCATGAGAAGTCGTATGATTCCGTACCTCCATCGAGACCTTTCCTTTTCATCTTTCTGTAGTCATTATACAGAGGCTCGAGATACTTGAAACATTCCAACGAGGTTCCAACTAGCCTCATATAGAATGCGCCAAGGGCTCTGGCATACCTGTGATTGATTAAACAAATAATTCAGTTCAATTCAAGACTGAACAAAATTCTCATGCAAAAATAAATGCATACAAATATGGTATCCAAAAGACACAGATGTGCTCTAAAACATAGATTCAACAACCAGAAACTATCTGGATTATAAAACGTCACACAACATTTAAAATGTGATGGTATTCATACCAAGATGGGAATCAAGACGGACCACAACCCTGCCTCAGGAAGCTTGACTAAAACAATTTTCTTGAGAGTCATTTCAGTAGAAACAACAAATGTAAAATGAAATTAGAAAAAATATATTACATTGGGAAAGTAATTAACTGCTTGTATCTTATGGATCTTGTCAAAATTCCTCTCATAGCAACATTAACAGTTCTGATATTATAGGTGATAAAGGACTCTTTTTTTGTAAATTGTCATTTGTCATAGCATCAATGTACATTGTTTATGACACGTGGTCACCAAATAACATTTCAGTTCCCACCTAGTGATATCCTTACACCTTTTAATCAGTGATGAAAAAAATCGCCCATTGAGAATAATCTAATATATTGACCATATGGTGATTTAAAAGATTCCCTTTTTTGACACCATTTAGTTACCAAGCTATAGTAATTATTACAAATATTTTGACATCTCCTTTTAATCAACCTTTTCATGCTAATTGCTTGAGGATTTTTATAGTTTGAAAGATACCAAAAAATTTTTTATATAAGAGACAGAAGTAAAACAGGCAATCCTCAAACAAACCTTATTTCAATTAACAGTTCATAATTTTTGCTGAGAATTCAATATGTCTAGGTTTCTTAGTTAAACAGCAAATCAAACTTTGCTGACTTTGATGCAATTATCACTGTTGGGGCAGAATCAGTTGATATTTCACCTCTGATTGACAACTTTAATGAATAAATCAGTCCTTTTCGTTTAGCGCGTGCGATCGCACCCGCACACGCCTGCACACGCGCAAATTAAATTGCGCGTGCTTTTGACCACACGCGCAAACAGGTGTTTTTGCAATTTTCTGTTAAAGGGCCAAATTTTGCACTTGCATTTTATTGGCAATTTTTATAAAGAAGTTGAGCCTGCTGATCACGAATTCGTTATTTGTTATTTTTTATTTGTTATATTAATTCGTTATTTTTTTACAGTTTGTGAGATATAAGCTCTTGCATTTCGATAATTTAATTGAATTAACCGACAAAAATTTTTGGTTTGGTGACACTGTGACGCAATTTTGACGTCACAGTGTATTTCGGATAGTCTCGCCTCAAACCGAATCGAACGACGGCGATTCGCAAATTGAACACTGCAAGTGATGGTACTTTCAGTTCTGTTCCGCCAGCTTTTAGTTTGAGCATTTCAGACACCAATTCTGAAGCCTTTAGTTGTTCATCGTTTCTGGAGAACAACTGAAGTGACAATTTCGATTAATTATACGCGAGGGAAGAGCTGGAACAGGAACTGGAACTGGATGCAGTTATCAACGCGTGACCATGAGTCCTTCACGCTTCGGTGGAAGATATACGAAATTCATGGCGAACGAGAGCCGCACATTGTGACGTCAGAATGTCACCAAACTGATTCGGCTTTTGTCGTTTTATTTCTCGGAAAGGTGCAACTTTAAAGCCTTACAACTTCTAAACTAATTGGAATTTTTCAAAAACAATGACTTTGTCATAATACAAGCACCAGATGCTAACTTTTAAGTCATTAAAAAAAATTTTTTTTTGCTGGAGAGGCCCTTTAACATCAATTTCCCATGGTCTCATGATTGTTTATCCTTTCCCTTGTTACTTGATTCGCACTTTTGACCACAATATGATTTTTCCAATTTTCGGAAGTGATGTTTGGCTTTTGACTGAGTGCTCCATTCAACTTAGCGTCTCGTCTTTCAGCTAAGTCGCCATTAGCATGTTAAGTGTAATAACTGATTTCCTGTCAAA